CAAGGAGCATCCCTATAGAGCATCTTCAGGGAGCATCCCCTGGAGCATCCCCAAGGAGCATCCCCATGGAGCACCCTCAAGGAGCATCCTCATGGAGCATCCCCATGGAGCATCCCCATGGAGCATCCCCACGGAGCATCCCCAAGCCACCCCCTTCCCCTTCCTCCTCCCCTAAGCCTGAGTGCTGGGCTCCAGGACCCCACACACGCTATGGGGCAGCGTGGCCCTCCCAGACCCACACAACTGCCCCCCCCCCGCCCCATACCCCACCACCCTTCACCCACCTTTCACAGCCGTCGTGCCCCGCAGAGCCAACGGCAGCAGGAGCAGGGCCGCGATCCCCAGCCCTCCGGCCATCGCTCCCGTCTCCAGATGCTCGAAGGGGCGACGCGGGGATGCCAGGGCATCCCTTGAGGCCCCTCGACCAATTAGAAGCCTCCCCGCTGATGACTCATCTGTCTCCAGGCAGAGCAGCGCCGCGGGGTACCCTATGGAGCAGACAGCCCGACGGGCACCACAATGGGGTCTAAACCTCGACCTGACCCCCCCCAGCACCCCATAGAGGGGAGGGTTGGGGTCAGTGACAACGCTGGGGGGGGGGCACCGAGATGGGGGAGCCCCATTGGTGGCCGTGGGGGTGATGGTGGCAGCCGGGGGGTGACGGCTTCAACGGGGACCAAGTGTGGACGGGAGCCTCGTCCGCTCTTGTTCTACCCAGCAACGGGTGATGCTGCCCCAGCCTCGCTGCTCATTGGTTGTTCCTGGGGCTTCCCAGTCCCGGCACTGGGACCCCCAGTGCGTGCGATCGCATTGACTGGGAAGGGGAGCCCGCTGTGCGCACGATGGGCACTGGGGCTGCGCTGGGAGCGGTTGGGGCCGTGCTGGTGGCACTGGTGGCACTGGGAGCCCCCCCGGCTCATGGCGAGGAGCTGTCGGGTGAGAGCGGAGCCACGGCACTGGGGGGGGGGGGGGCTCAGGGTCTTTGGGGTGTCCTTGGGGTTGGGGGGGGTTCTTTGGGGGGGTCTTTGTTGGGTCTTTGGGGGTAATGGGAGTTTTGGGGGGGTCTTTGTGGGGTTTTGGGGGAGTTTGGGGGGGGTCTTTGTTGTGTCTTTGTGGTTTTGGGGGGTCTTCGTTGGGTCTTTGTTGGGTTTTGGGGGTGTTGGGGGGGTCTTTGTTGGGGTTTGGGGGGGTTGGCCTGGTTTTTGTTGGTTCTTTGGAGTTTGGTGGGGTCTTTGTTGGGTTTTGGAGTCTTTGGGGGTCTCTTTGTTGGGTCTTTGTTGGGCTTTGTGGTTTCGGGGGTCTTTGTTGAGTCTTTGTTGGGTCTTTCGGGGTCTTTGGGGTTTGGGGGGGTCTTTGTTGGGCTCTGGGAGTCTTTTTTGGTTTCTTTGTTGGGTCTTTGTTGGGCTTTGTGGTTTGGGGGGTCTTCGTTGGGTCTTTGGGGGTCTTTGGGGTTTGGGGGGGTCTTCCTTGGGTCTTTGGAGGGAGGTTGTTAGAATCTTTGGGGTTTGGGGGGGTCTCTGTTGTGTCTTTCGAGTTTGCGGGGTCTTCATGGGGTCTTTGTTGGGGTTTGGGGTCTTTGTGGGGGGTCTTTGTTGGGTTTTGGGGGGTGTTTGTTGGGGTTTGGGGGGGGTCTTTCTTTGCTGGCTCTTTGTGGGCTCTGTCCCTGCCTTCCCCCCTTCTCCTGGCCCCTCCTGTGCCCCCCCAGGACATGGCGAGGGGGGGGGAACCGCTCCCCCTGAGCCAACACCCGGCACCAACAGGGATCTTCCAGTGGGCGTGTAAGTTCGAGTGTCAGTACCTCAACGGCACCGAGCGCGTCCGGTTACTGGGGAGGTGGATCTACAACCGGGAGCAGTACATGCACTTTGACAGCGATGTGGGGCACTATGTGGGCGACAACCCCGAGGGCGAGTTCCAAGCCAAGTACCACAACGGCATTGTGGAAGACCTGGAGCAGAAAAGGGCTGAGGTGGACACAGTCTGCCGGCACAACTATGGGGTAGATAAACCTTTCACCATAGATCGGAGAGGTGAGTCCATGGCAGAACGTTCCCCAGAGGAACAGGCCCAACCCAACCCAACCCAACCCCCTGCCGTGCTGGGGCTGCGGTGCCACCGCGGCTGTGACCATGGCAGCGGGCGGTTGTGACCCCGGTGAGGGGAGGTTGTGACCACGGTTGTACTTGGTGGCTTTGCCACCTTTGTACAACATTGGGTTGGCCGTTGTTGGGTTGATGAACGCATTGGGTTGTACAACGTTGGGTTGCCCAGTGTTGGATTGGCCAACACGTTGGGTTGCCCATTGTTGGGTTGATGAACACTTTGGGCTGTACAACATTGGGTTGCCCAGCATTGGGTTGCCCAGCATTGGATTGGCCAACACATTGGGTTGCCCAGTGTTGCGTTGATGAGCACATTGGGTGGTACAACATTGGGTTGCCCAGTGCTGGGTTAATGAACGCATTGGGTTGTACAACCTTGGGTTGTCCAGTGTTGGATTGGCCAACACATTGGGTTGCCCATTGTTGGGTCGATGAATGCATTGGGTTGTACAATATTGGGTTGCCCAACATTGGGTTGCCCAACCTGCTGAGTTGCCCATTGTTGGGTTGCCCAGTGTTGCGTTGATGAACACATTGGGTTGTACAACACAATGGGTTGCCCCTTGTTGGGTTGCCCATTGTTGCGTTGATGAACACATTGGGTTGTACAACACCGGGTTGAGCACCATTGGGTTGGCCAACGCATTGGGTTGCCCATTGTTGCGTTGATGAACACATTGGGTTGTACAACACCGGGTTGAGCACCATTGGGTTGGCCAACGCATTGGGTTGCCCATTGTTGGGTTGGTGAACACATTGAGTTGTACAACACCAGGTTGAGCACCATTGGGTTGGCCAACGCATTGGGATGTCCATTGTTGGGTCAACGAATGCATTGGGTGGCCCACCATTGGGTCGCCACCACCTCGGGTGCCCGCGACGCTCTGCCCCCCACCCCACAGTGCCTCCGAAGGTCGAGATCTTCCCGGTGCAGTCGAGCTCGGCGCCGCAGACCAACCGCTTGGCGTGCGCCGTGAGCGACTTCTACCCGGCGCCCATCGAGGTGCGGTGGTTCAAGAACGGGCGCGAGGAGCTGCAGCACGTGGTGTCCACCGACGTCATCCAGAACGGCGACTGGACCTACCAGGTGCTGGTGATGCTGGAAACCACCCCGCAGCGCGGCGACACCTACGCCTGCCAGGTGGAACACGTCAGCCTCCAGCAGCCCAGCATCATCCATTGGGGTACGGACACCCCAAACCCAGCTGGTATCCCCCAAAATGAAGGTGTCGGGGGGGGAACCCCAAACTTAACACACCCCCCCCCCCCCAATTTTGGCTCTCCAGAGGTGACGGATGGCAGCAATAGCAAGATGCTGACGGGGATCGGGGGCTTCGTGTTGGGGCTCATCTTCATCGTGGTGGGGTTCATCTTCTACATGCGCAAGAAGGTGAATGTGGGGGTGTCTTTATGTGGGTCCTCAAGGTTTGGGGGTGCTTTGGGGTGCCCTTGTGAGACACTGACCCCATCTCTGTGTTGCAGGGCACTTACTTCCCTCCACTGCAGGTAACGTCTATGTGTATCGTCATCCCCCCCCCAACATTGGGGTCACCCCAGCCCCACACTCACCCCTCCTTTTCTCTCCCCACAGGCCAGCTCCTGAGCAAGCTCCTGCCCCACTGCACACAGCTCCAAGCAGTCTCTGCCCCCCGTGTTACCCCACAGCAACCCCTGGTGTCCCCAACATCCCCCTCGTTTCCCCCCCCGCAGCCCCACAATTGTGACCCACAGTAGCTCCAGCTCCAATAAAACTGCCCACTGCTCCAGCCCCGGTTGTTGGGGGGGCTGTGGGGCAGGGGAATGACACAGTGTAGGGCAGTGGCATCACCACAGGCATGGAGCATGCATGGAGCTCTATAGGGCAGGAAGACTCCTCTATGGGGCAAGAAAACCCCTCTATGGGGCAGGAAGATTCATCTCTGGGGCAAGAAGAGCCCTCTATGGAGCAGGAAGACCCCTCTATGGGCAACTCGTCTATAGGGCAGAATCCCACCTCCCAGCCCCACTTTGGGGGCCCCCAAAACATGGGGGGGAGGGGGCTCGGGGGGGGGGGGGGGGGGGGGGAGGGAAAATCCCATGGGTGGGGGGAGGGGAATGTGGGTCCCATGGTGGGGACGGGAAGGGGGTAAGGAAGAAATGAGGGGGTGGGGGAAAGGGCATGGGGGTCCCATGGGGGGAAAGAGGGGGGAGGAGAAGTTCCCACGGGTGGAGGAGGGGCTCCAATAATATTTTCTTTATTTACACGTGAAAGAATCCGAAGGTTCCAAACAGGCGCGAGGTGGGGGGGAGGGGGTTGGTGGGGGAGGGGCGAGAGCAAGAGAGGAGGGTGGGGGAGGGGCACGGAAAAAAAAAAAAAGAAACCCTCAAAATCAAACGAATCCCCACCCCACCCCCCCCCCAAATTTAGAAAATTATACACAAAGCTTAAAAAAAAAATGTAGCACCCGCCCCTCCCCCACCCGGGTCATGGGGGAAGGGGGGGGAGGGGAGGCGCAAATAAATTAACCCCCCCCCCAAAAACCCAACCCCAAAACCCCAAAACTCCAGCGCTGGGGGGGGGGGGAGGGAGGGGCAGAAAATGTTGGGGTTTTTTTTTTTCCTTCCCATTTTTAAAAAGATTTTTGAATTTTTTTTTGAATTTTGCAAATTTTTTTCTTCTTAAAAACGCCCCCAATTTCCCTCCCCCCCCCGCCCCTCCCAAAGTACCCCAAAATTCACAGAAAAAAATAAAATCCAAAGAAAAACCAAACTAAAAAAAAAAAACCAACCAAACAGTAAAACCTGGGGGGAGTGGGGTGGGGGAGGGGCCACCCCATCATGCCCCTCCCCCCCAAACACCACCTCCCCCCTTGAAGTCCATGTGGTGGGGGAAGGGCTCCCCCTTAACCCCGCCCCCATCTGGTTGGGGGAGGGGCTGTGTGTGGGAGGGGCTCCCCCTTAACCCCGCCCCCTTTTGGTTGGGGGAGGGGCTGTGGGGTGGGAGGGGCTCAGTCCGGTCCCACAGATCCATTTCTGTCCAATCCCATCGCTGAGGGGGTGGGAAGGAGGGGGGGCGGGGCGGGGAGAGGAGGAGAAAAGGAAGGGAATGGGAAGGGAGGGGTTGTATCCCGCTGACGTCATCGATGGCGTCATCATCCCCGTCACCCCGAGTCGGAGTCGCTGGTGTCCGAGGAGGAAGAGGAGGAGGAGGAGCTGCTCGAGTCCGAGCTGGAGCTGGAGGCGCTCAGGCGGGACACGGCCACGTGCTGGGCGGACTCGGCCTTGTCGCTGGCTATGGGGGGCCAAAAACAGAGGGGTGAGGCCTCTGTCGCGATACGGCACGACAGACGTCGAGAAAAGCTTCAAAAACCCTGGTAAACGGCCATAAACTGTCGCAAAACTACCACGAGTCCCCAGTCGCCCCAATAAACTCTTGTGACCAATCACGATAAATTGTCCCCTCAATAGTCCCCAATAAACTCTTGTGATAATCTTCAATCGATAAACCCCCCAATAAACTCTTGTGATAATCCTCAATCACGATAAATTGTGATAAACCCTCACGATAGTCCCCAATAAACTCTTGTGATAATCCCCAATCGCGATAAATTGTGATAAACTGTCACAATAGTCCACAATAAACCCCAATAAACTCTTGTGATAATCCCCAATCGCAATAAATTGTGATAAACTGTCACGATAGTCCCCGATAAACCCTTGTGACAGTCCCCAATCGCGATACACTGTGATAGTCTCCAATTAACTACTGTGATGAACTGTCATGACAGTCCCCGATAAGCTGCAATAAACCCAGTACCATTGTGACAGTCTCCTGTCAACTATCATGATAAAGTGGCACGACAGGCCTGGATAAGCTGTGATGTACCCCAGTACCATTGTGATAGTCTCCTGTCAACTATGGTGACAAACTGGCACAACAGACCTCGACAACCTGTGATAAACCCCAATAAACTATCGCGATAGTCTGCAATAAACTATAATACACCCCAGCATACGGCTGTGACAGTCCCTGAACAACTGTCACGACAGATCCCACTGAACAGCAATAAACTGTTGCAACAGTCCCACGTAAACCCCCATAAACTATCGTGGTCATTCCCGACTGCCTGTCGTGACAAACTGTCACGATAACCGCACTAAACTGTGCTAAACTCACAACAGACCCCGATAAAACCCCATAGCGGGCAATAGCCTGCTCTGCGCTATCACGACAGGCTGCGATAACCCGCCCGTGACCTATCGCGACAGGCGCTCACCCTTCTTGGGGGGTTTCTTGGCCGAGTTGAGCTGCCCACTGACGTCCTGCAGCCGCTTCTCCAGCTCCCGCTTCTTCTCCAGCGCCAGCTCCTCTTTCGTCTTCCCCACCGGCTTCTTCAACGCTGCGGAGGGGACATGGGGGGGGTCAAAGGGACCCCAAAATAGCCCCAAATCACCCCAAAACCAAATGGCCATCCAGCAGCCAAACAATGAACACCCAATGGTCAACAACACCCCATCTACCACCCCGAAACAACCAATGGCCGACCCCTCAGCCAGCACTCAACCAATGGCCAACCAACCAATCCAACCATCAACCACCCAATGGGAAACCCCCCAACCAACCAGCCCCCCCCAAAAACACCCAATGGCCCAATGGCCTACACACAACCAAACCAATCCCTCAACCCAACAGCGCAATGGTCTACACCTGATCAACCCAACCCCTCAACAGCCTACACCCAACCAATCCAACATACAACTCCTCAACCCAATGTCCTACACCCAACCAACACCCAACCCTTCAACCCAATATCCCAATGGCCTGCACCCAACCACTCAACCCAACAGCCTGCACCCAACCAACACAACACCCAGCTCCTCAACCCAACGGCCTAATGGCCTGCACCCAACCAACCCACCACCTCAACCCAACCCAACTCAACCCCATGCTCAACCAAAGGCCGCCCTGGGGCCCTGTCTCACTCTCGCTGTAGGGCTTGCGCGGCTTCTTCCGCAGGCAGGACAGGACGTAGCGCTCCAGCTCCCGCAGCGTCGAGGGCTTGAGGGTCTCGAAGTCGATCTCGATCTCCTCCGGGTTGGAATCCCGCAGCGAGGGCTCCCGGGATTGGATGATGTGCACCACGCGGCCCAGCTTCTCCCCGGGCAGCTTGTTGATGTCCAGGCTGAGCTGGCGCTTCTCGTCGTACGTCATGGGCTTGCTCTCCTCCTCCTCCTCCGAGTCGTAGAGCGCCGACGGCGGCGGCGGCAGCGCCGCTTTCGCCGCCTTCTTCGAGTTCCTGATGGGAGAAATCACTGATTAAAACCCCCTTTTCCCCACCAGAAACGAGGGCTTTCCCACCAGAACCACCCCCCATTTCACATAAACCACAAATTCACCCCAAATCCACCCAATTTCCATGCCCCAAACCCCTTCAATTTCAGACAAAACCCCAAAATCAACTTTCCTGCCCCAAAACCACGCTTTCCCTCCAAAATACTTCAATTTTCACCAGAACAATTCAGAAAGTCCAAATTTTTCAAAACACACTCCAGAAGTTCCAAACTAAGCCCCCAAAATCTCATTTTTCCTACCTCAACCCCCCAATCTCATTAATCTATGATAAACTATCACAACAGTCCCCAGTAAGCTCTTGTGATAGTCCCCAGTCACGATGAACTGACAAGCTGTCACGATAGTCCCCAGTAAACCCCAATAGACACTTGTGATATTCCCCAATCACAATAAACGGTGACAAGCTGTCACGGTAGTCCCCAGCAAACCCCAATACACTCTTGTGACCCCAATCGCGATAAACTATGATAAACTATCATGATAATCCCCAATAAACCCAATAAACTCTTGTGATAGTCCCCAACCACAATAAACTCTGACAAGCTGTCACGATACTCCCCAATAAACTCTTGCGACAGTCCCCAATAGCGATAAACTGCGATAAGCTATCGTGATAGTCCCCAATCACGATAAACTGTGACAAGCTGTCCCAAGCCCCGCCCTTTCCCCCTCCACGTCCTCACCGGGTGCCGCCGGCGGCGGCTCTCCGTGCCCGGCGGAGCTGCGCCTGCCTCAGCCGCGCTTCCTCGTCTCCCCCTTTTTTGTGTTTCTCCGTTTTCTTCTTCTTCTTCTTCTCCCTCTTCCTTTTGGGTTTGGAGACGGGGCCCTGCGAGAGGGCAGCCAACTGCTCGTGGACGGCACGTAACTGCAGGGGGGATGGACACGGGGAGGGGGGGGTGAGGTGGGCACCGGGCAACGGCTCCGGTCCGGCTCCGGCACCGGTTCCGGTTCCTCACCTGCTCCTGCAGCTCAGCCAAGCGGTTGGCCCGTTCCTCCTCCGAGTCGGAGCTCTCCTCGCTCTCCGAGGAGCTCTCGCTGCTGCTTTCGTCGTCTTCGTCGTCCTCGTCGTCGTCTTCGTCGTCATCCTCGTCGCTGGAGGATTCTTCCGAGGTGGATTTGGAAAGGGCGCCGGGAAGCGGAGCCGATACCGAGGGCGGGCTGGCGGCCTGCGGCTCGTCCGGCATCTTGGCGTAGCTGAACTCAAACACGTCCTGCGGGAGAGGCAGGGATGGGGGTCAGTGGGGGGCACCAAAGGGCAATGGGGACGCCTCAAGGGCGCCAAGGTCCTGTCGTGTCCCTGGAAACGTGTCTTGATCTATCCTTAGGGATGAGACACCAGGATAACAGGGATGGGACTGGATACTGGGACGACATTAGGACTAGACATTATAACAGGAACACTGGACACCATGATCAGACAAGACACCAAAATAGGGTCTTATTGGTAGGGATAAGATACAGGGACACCAGGACCCAAACATCGGTATCTTGATCTATCCTTAGGGATGAGACACCAGGATAACAGGGATGGGACTGGATACTGGGACAATGACATTAGGACTAGACATTAGAACAGGAACACTGGACACCAGGATCAGACAAGACACCAAAATAGGGTCTTATCGGTAGGGATAGGATACAGGGACACTGTGACCCAAACATCGGTGTCTTGTTCTATCCTTAGGGATGAGACACCAGGATAACAGGGATGGGACTGGATAATGAGACAAAGACATCAGGACTAGAGACTAGAACAGGAACATCAGACCCCAGGACACTGGGAATGGGACTGGGCACTGGTGTCTTGTCCGTGGGGACCAGGACATTGGAGTCTTATCCCTGAAGATGGGACCAGGACACTGGGACCAGAGTGGACAATGGGACCAAGGGCACCCACGCACCCGACCTCAGCTCACCTGCAGCTTGCGTGCCATGGCCACCACGTCGTGGTCGGGGGGGTTGTACTTGTAACAGTTGGAGAACATCAACCGGACGTCGGCAGCGAACTCCTGCGCGTCGTGGTAATCCCTGTTCTCCATTTTCCGCTACGGGAGGGAAACCATCGGTGAGGAAAGCCTGAAACCACCCCAAAACCCTACTCCTGCCTCCCCCCACCAGCCCCACACCTTGATGGTGCTGAGGTCCATGGGGTGCTTGATGATCTCATGGTAGTCATGGAGCCCCAGAGCCGAGGCATCGACGGGCTTGTAGAAGGGCCAAGCGTAGGCTGCGTGCTTCTTGGAGAGCAGCTCCTTGAGGATCCCATTGCAGTACTTGAGCTGCTCCGACAGCTTCCCCTTTTTGGACGTCTGGTGCTGCTGGGAATCGGGCAGATCCTTCCGGGGGGGCTTGATGGGGCGCCCGCTCTCGCGCCGCGCCGGGATTTTGGCCGCTTTGCTTTCCAACAGCGTGGCCGAAGGCGAGGATTCGCCCCCGCCGCCGCTGGTGGCGATGATGGCCGTGGTGGTGGGGGTGGTGGTGTCCGCTTTCCGCTTCACGCCCTTCTTCTGCCCCCCACCCCGCCCCCAAAAACACCCCAAAATGAGGATGGGGAACACTCCCCTGCTTTGCAAGACCCACCAAAATCCACTGAAACACCCCCAAAATCCCACAAAAAATCAAAATACCCCCAAATCCACTGAAATACCCCCAAATACCCCAAAACCCCCAAATACCCCCAAAATCCCAAAATCCACTGAAATAACCTCAAAATCCACTGAAATACCCTCAAAATCCCAAATTCCACTCAAATACCCCCAAAATTCCACAAAACCCCCAAATACCCCCAAAATCCCCAAATCCACTGAAATACTCTCAAAATCCCAAATTCCACTGAAATACCCCAAAATCCCACAAAAACTCAATGCATCCCCAAAACCCCCCAAAACCCTAAAATGCCCCCAGAATATCCCAAAATATCCCCAAAATCCACTGAAATACCTCCAAATCCCACAAAACCTCAAAATACCCCCAAAACGCCCAAATCCACTGAAATACCCCCAAAATGCCACCGAATCCCAAAATACCCCCAAAATCCACTGAAATCGCCCTAAACCCCTACCTTAGCCACGGGCTGGGTGGGTGCCGGTGCCGCCAGCACCGGCGGCGCGGGCGAGTGCAGGGACTTGAGGAGCGGAGCGGTGATGACCGACGGATGGGGAATGTTGACGATGGTGGTTGGGATTTCGGGGCTCGGGCTGTAGACGGTGGCGTGGGACACGGAGGAGACGGCGGGGACTTGCTGCGCGGCGGTGAGGCCGGCCAAGAGGGCTGGAAACGGGGCGAGGAACCCCATTAGGAACCCCCAAAACCAACCCCTGACACCACAACACCCATCGCGGCGAGCGGTACCTGCCGCCCGCGACGCTCCTTTCTTATGGCTGTTCCTGGCCACCGGCACCACGATCTCCTGCTCTTCGGGTGGCATCTGAGCCACCTTCTGCAGGAAGATCTTCTCCAAGGTTTGGGCCATCAACACGATGTCATCCGTGGGCTGGAAGGGCCCAAAGGGGCGTTAGGGTTGTGGCGAGGCGGCGACGCCGGTGGCGTCGGGGTGGTTCTCACCTTGTTGTAGATGTAGCAGTTGGTGAACATGGTGTTGAAGTCCTGCATGCACTCGGCAGCCCCCCAGTAGTAGTTGTTCTCCAAGCGCCGCTTGATGGTCCCCATGTCCATGGGTTGCTTGATGATCTTGTGGTAATCCTATGGGATAACGGGATGCGGTGGTCACGGATAGGGCGGAAGCTCCGGTACCCGGCGCCGAGCTCACACACCAGCTCTCACACAAGCACCCAAACGCAGGCAGGAAGGGGGGGGGGGGGAAATAGGGGTTTGCTCCCTACCCTGAGAGTGCCACCGTCCCCCTACGTGTCCTTTGGCGGGGTGGAAAACCTACGCTATGGGGAGAGCTGGATGGAGGCCGGTGTCCGGATGGGCGCGATGATCCCGGGAAAGGAAAAGGAGGGAAGGGGTGGGTGTGGAAAAAAAATCTAAGGAAGAGCAACAAGAAAGAACCTCCGTGGAAAAATTACCTCCGGGCTTTAAATCCTCGAGCGCCACAGGCGAGACACGGGGGGGCTGGCGTTTAATTTTGGGGTCACAAGATGTCTTCTACAAACTCATGGATGGGCATCTGCAAAACGCATTCAGGGCACAAGAGATTAGGTGGGAATGGGGGGGGGGGGGTAAAGGGAGGGGGAAAACGTCCGGATTTACCTCTAGGAGCGGCTGCGTGGTTGCATCCGTGCTTTTTAGAAGGGATAACGGGAGCAAAGGGGGAAAGGTGGCAGCCGCTCGGAGGACGTCCCCAGGATGAGCCCCAACGCCTACGAGGGGCTATGGGGAGGGGGGGGATAAGGGGAGGTGTTGGGATGGGATCTGGCGCCCGGAAAACAGGGCAAAATCTCCTTGGGAAAAGGCTTGGGAACGCTGGCGGTGGCACTCTCAGGGTTGTATGGGGACAAGGTGGGGGGGGGAACCAAGATGGAAAAGGAAATGCCCCAAGCGGCATCTCCCATGTGCCTGACACCCCCTGCCTGCACGCGTGAGGGGCGATGGGGCCGCACACATCCATCCACACACGGAGCCATGTGCCGGGACACGCTTCCACACGCCAACAGCCCCCCCACATGCCCACCCCCCCCCCCAATTCCTATCCGTCGGAATGCGTTACCGGGAGCCCCAGCTTGACGGCGTCCACCGGCTGCCGAAAGGGCCAAGCAAACTGGTGCTTCCAGAGGGCTTTCATCACCACTTTGTGCAGGTACTGGAGCTGGTTGGTGACCCGGCCGGGCTTCTTGGGGTTGGAAACCTCAGGGGGGGGCGGGTTCACCTGCGGAGACGGCAGCGCCGGCACCGAGGCCATGGTGGGGCTCTCAAAGCCCTCGTAGAGGAGGGAGGGTTTGCGGATCCGCTTGCCGGGGGTCGATTCCGTAGCCAGAGCCATGAGCCCGGCGTTGCTCTCCCCTAGGAGCCTGGAAAAGGTGCAGGGACAGGGTTAAACCAAAGAGCTCCGTTATGGCTTAGCCAAAAGAGAAGAAACCAGCCCAAAAGCATCACCAAGCGGTTGGGTCATGGGGTTCCCAGCCCCAGGCTCGGCGCCGGATGCGACTCCGGGTGCCAGGGTGGGATTTGGGGATGGACTTCCCAAGGAACGGGGCAAGCAGAGCCAAGGGCTCGCTGCGGATCCAAGCTCAGCCTCCGAAACAAAGGGCATCGGTGCCACTGACACCCGCTGGTGCCGGTGTCATCGCTTCCATTGGGATTTAACCATCACAGCAATGCCAACAAAGTGGAACCATGGCATGGGTTTGGTGCTGTTATGATCACCCATCCATGAAGGAATAGGACACAACATAAGGGATCTGTATCTATGCCCCATTCCCGATTTATGGGTGAAAACCCAATGATTTAGGACAACATCAACCAGCGGAAAACCGGGACGAGGGGACCACAAAACCCATGGAAAACCGGGATCCCCACGACCCCATTCAAACCAACGGGACAGCACCACCACCGCTGGCCATTGGTGCCCGGTCCCCCCAGGAACAGGCACCGATGTGGGGTGACAACGACCCCATTCCCCAATCCCCCCCACCCCTTACACCCCCGGTCCCGGTACCTACTTGCTCTGGGGGTTCACGTTCTGCAGCATCGCGGCGGCTGCGTGCGAGGCCCGCGGGCCCGGCCCTTCTCCTTCTTCTCCTCCCGCCGCCGCCGTCTCTTCCGACGCCCCCCCCACTTTGCCCGGATTAACGGGGGTGGAAAGGTGGGGGGGGGGAGCTCAACCGGTACCGGCCCGGTGGGGGCCAACCCCCGTCAGCGCATCACCGGCCAACGGGGAAAGGAGCGGGGAGGGGAGGGGACGGGGGGACACGGGGACGGACGAGGCGGGCGCCGTCTCCCCGCTCCCCCCGGGGCACGACGGGCGTCAAGCGGCGGCGGCGGCGGCGGCTGCTGGTCCGGTGGGGCGCATCCAGCGGCCTTCACATGAACGGGCGCGGAGAAGATGGCGGCGGGGACACGGTGAGGAAAACGGCCGGGGAGGAAGGAGGGAGCCGGGGGAATGGGGGGCTGCTTGTGGGGTGTCCCCCTTTCTTCGGACCCCCCCCAAATCGGGTCAATATCAGCCTCGTCGCGTCGCTAAGAGCCGGCAGCGCGGATGAGGACGGCGGCGGCGGCGGATGGAGGCGGATGGCGACGGGGGCCGAGTCAGCGGCCGGGCTCCATCTTGGCTCCCGGATGAAGACTGGGAAGGGAAGGAGGAGGGGGGAGGGAAGAGAGAACCGGGTTGAAGGGGAGGGCCCCTCACCGCCGGCCGCAGGCAGGGGTCGCTACGGAGGCCGGGGAGGGTCCGGCGGAGCCGTCCGGGAGCGGCGGAGGCGGGGGATGGATCCGGATCGGGGCCGCGCCCCCCAACAACCCCCCCCACCCCCCCCCTTCAACCCCCCCCCCCCTTTTCAACCCCTCCCCGCGCGCGCGCACCGGGCCCGACCCGCTCGCTGCTCCGTCCCAGCGAAATGGCGCCGCTCGCCCGGCCCCCGGCCGGCCTTATATAGACACGAGCCGGCCCCTCATTGGGCGGCGGCGCCGCTGACGTCACCCCCACCGCCCCTCCGCCGCCTCATTGGCCGGACGCGCGCCACGCGCCGCGACGCCGTTGGCCGAGCGCCACGCCCGTCAACGCCGCCCCGCCCACAAGGCCCGCCCCCTCTCCTCCAACCGCAGACCTCCCTTTTCCGCCCGGCGACTCACCCGGACGAGCGGGCGCTGCCGCCGCTCATTGGCCGGCGCCCGCGCTCCTCGCCACGCCATTGGCCGCAAGGCCCGCGGAGGGGGCGGGCCCGGCGGGCGGAAGCGGCCGTTGGCGGCCGTTGTGTGCGTGTGAGGGGAAGGAGCCCCGCCGCCATCTTGCGCGCCCGCCGGACAATGAGCACCGCGCTCCGGGCTCCCCTCGGACACCCCCGGCCCCACCGGGGACCCCCCCCCCCCACCTCCGGCCTTCACCCCCCCCCCAATTTGAGGGGGTCCCATCGCACCCCCGACCCCTTCTCACCTTTCCCCACCCCCCCACCCCTTTTTACCCCGGGGTCCCCTCCGCGCCCCCCCCCGGGCCCTCCGGCCCCGCAGGCAGCACCGAGCCCCCTTTAAGCCCCTCAGCAATGGGGCGACCCCCACGGACACGGCGCTGCTGCGCCCGACAGCGCCGGCAAAGCGCCTGATCCAAGGGTGAGGCCTGAGCCCACGGCTCCTTCCTCCCCCCCCACCCCCCACAGCCTCCACCGGGAGGGGCCCACGGCGGCGCCGGGACCCCCAAGTCCCTTCGCCCTATGGGGCAGAGCCGCTTTTGCCCCCCTTGTCTCCCTCCGCGGCCTCGTTGGGTCCCTGCACACACGCACACACCGCCCCCCCCCCCGGCCGTGACACAGCACTTGGGGCCCTGCCCGCCGCCCCCGCGCGAACACCCAAACATGGCGCTTTTCGCCCCAAAACCACCGCCTCCCGCGTCACCGCCGCTCTCGCCGCCCATTGGCCCGCGGCGATGACGTCAGAGGGGCAGGACCACCCCCCCCGTACCCCTCCAATCCCTAATGAAGGGGGGGGGGAGGGGGCGAGGTCTTTCCCACCCACCCCCCCATCACTCACCTGAGCCATGGGGCCGCGCCCCCCCCCGGCCCCTCTTCATATCCCCCCCCCAAAAAAAACCCCGTTTTGGGGTAAAAAAAGCAGCTTTAAAAGCCCCAAAACCCCCCATCCTGGGGCAAGAAAAGGGAGCCGCGCGCGACGTCACCCGCGCCCCGATTGGCTCCCCGCCGTCACGTGGCGCCCCCGCGGCTCCCACGGCCCCATTCATCCCCACCACCACCCCCCCATTCACCCCCGCGGGGGCCCTGGCGGCTCCGCAGGGTCCTAACGCCGGCCCTGCGGGAGGTGATGGGGGGGACACGCACACAGAGAGCGACAGCGCTGGTACACGGGGGGGGGCACCCATGGGGGTCCCAAGCAGTGGGGGCACCCATAGGGGGTGCTGCATGGCAAGGGGGGGTCAGGTATGATGGGAGCACCCATAAAAGGAGGGGTGGGGGGGGTGGAAGGGGGTTGCAGCAGCGCCCTGCAGCCACTCGGGGCGTGCGGCACCAATGCACGCTGCTATGGGGGTGCAAGTGAGTGCAGTGCACGCTACTATAGGGGCGCAGTGGGTGCTGCTAAGGGGTGCCAAGGGATGCAGTGGTGCTGCTATGGGGTGCGAGGAGGTGCGCGGGGTGCAGTGGTGCTGCTATGGGGTACAAGGGGATGCAGTGATGCTGCTGTGGGGTACAGGGGATGCAGTGATGCTGCTGTGGGGTACAGAGGATGCAGTAATGCTGCTTTGGGGTATAAGGGGATGCAGTGCTGCTGCTGTGGGGTACAAGGGGATGCAGTGCCGCTGCTGTGGGGTACAAGGGGATGCAGTGCACTCTGATAAGGGGATGCAGAGCAGGCTGCTATGGGGTACAAGGGAATGCAGTGGGTGCAGTGCACGCTACTATAGCGGCGCTGTGGGTGCTGCTAAGGGATGCAGTGGTACTGCTATGGGGTGCAAAGAGGTGCAGTGGTGCTGCTATGGGGTACAAAGCGATGCAGCGGTGCTGTATGGGGGTGCAGTGCACGCTGATAAGGGGGTGCAGTTCACGCTGCAATGGGGTACCCGGGGGTGCAGTGGGTGCAGCACACGCTGCTATAGGGGTGCAGTGGGTGCAGCGGGGCGTCGCAGCAAGCGCTTTGCCCCCCATAGCATCAACGCTCAGTGTGGGGCTGCGGGGCCATAGGGCAGGGGTGCCCCCTAATTAACAGCGCTTGTTAATTAAGTCCCCGCTGTCCCCAGCGCTGTCACAGCACCCGAGCGGCCCCGCGGGCTCTTCTGCCCGGTGACAAGTGACGCAAGCGCAGCGCCGGCCTCCTATTGGTGGAGGGGCCGGCACCCGGTAGCACCCAGGGGTCCCATCGCGATGGGTGCTGAGGCCCTGCTGGTGGCAGCGGGGTGCCTCTGGGTGGCCCTGGGGGCTGCGGGCACCGATGGTGAGAGGTCCGGGGGGGGGGGGATTAATGCAAGGGGGTCCCCCCCCTTGTCCCCATCCCTGTCCCCTTCTTGTCCCTTCTCCCCATAGAGCCCCAGGTCCTGTCCGAGGTCCTCTTCTGCCAACCGGATGAGCCCTCGCTGGGGCTGGCGGTGACCCTGGGCACGGACCAGCTCTTCTGGTTCAACTTCTCGGGCTCGTCCTGGATGCGGCACGTGCCGGAGCTGCCGCCGGAGCCGCCGGAGCTGGAGGCGCCGGAGCTGGTCCGGAAGGATGCGGAGTTCTGTCAGAGCCTGCTCGTCCTCCTCACCAACATCAGCAGCGGGCAACTGGCTCAGGCCAGGGGTACGGGGGGCATCGTGGTGGTCATCGTGGTCGTTATGGTTAGGATAGGTCATCATGGTGATCATCATGGTCGTTATGGTTAGGGTAGGTTATTGTGGTCATCATGGTCATTGTGGTCATGGTGATCATCGTGATTGCTATGGTTATGATAGGTTATCGTGGTCATGGTGATCGTTGTGGTCATTATGGTTGTGATAGGTCATTGTGGTCCTGGTGGGCCTGTGGTCATGGTGATCGTTGTGGTCATTATGGTTGTGATAGGTTTTCATGGTCGTTACAGTTGTGATAGGTCATCATGGTGATCATTGTGGTCGTTATGGTTGTAATAGGTTATCCTGCTCGTTATGGTTGTGATAGGTCATCATGGTGATAATTGTGGTCATTATGGTTGTGATAAGCTATTGTGGTCATGGTGGGCACTGTGGTCGTGGTGGTCATCGTGGTCATTATGGTTGTGATAGGTCATCATGGTCATGGTGGCGATCATGGTTGGCATGGTCATGGTGACCGTAGTGATCGCTGTGGTCATCATGCTCGTGGTCACTGTGGTTATGGTGGGTCAAGGGGTTATTGTGGTCATGGCGGTCATCACGGTTGTCATGGTCATGGTGGTCATCATAGTCATGGTGGTCATCATGGTTGTCATGGTCATGGTGATCATCATGGTCATGGTGGTCATCATGGTTGTCATGGTCATGTTCACTGAGGTCATCATGGCCATGGTGGTCACTATGGCCATTGTGGTTATGGTGGGTCAACGTGGTCATCACGGCCATGGTGGTCATGGTGTGGCCCCCAAGGGGACAGTGATTTCGCCCCCGTTGCTTTTGGGGCCGATTTTGGGCTGTAAAAGGGCCAATTCGGGACATTTCACGGGGAGGGCTTGGAGACGCGGGACGCGGTTGCCTTGAGGCACCCCCCAAAGCTCCCCCCCACCCCCCCCAACCCAAGCGCCCCCTTTTGCCCCCATCCCATCCCAGGGATCCCAGTGGCCAAACTCTTCCCATTGCGACCCACGGCTTTGGGCGAGCCCAACACCTTGGTGTGCCTGGTGGAGAACATCTCCCCCCCCGCCGTGGACATCGCCTGGAGGGCGGACGACGTCCCCGTCACCCGCGGCGTCACCCACAGCGGCTACACCGTGACCAACGGCGTCACCTTCACCCGCTTCTCCTACCTCCGGGTGACCCCCGGCGCCGGGACCATCTACAGCTGCGTCGTCACCAGCCCCGGCCTCAACAGCAGCACCGTGGCCTATTGGGGTGAGCGCGGTGACAACAATGGGGGGGGGGACACACACCCTCGGTTGTTCCTATCCCATTGTTGTTGTTGTCCCCCCGTTGTAGTGGCGCAGGAGACGGGTGACACCGAGACGTTGTGGCCGGCGCTGTGCGGCGCTGCCGTGGCCTTGGGCACGGTCTTGGCTCTCATGGGCATCGCCATGGCGGTGGCGGCGTGGTGGGGCAGGACGGGACGGTGCCGGATGTTAACCCTGTGCCGTTGACACAACCCCCATCGGTGGTGGTGGTGGTGGTGGTGGTGGCACCGGTTGTCTCCATTCAGCATTAAACCCCTTTTGTCTATGGCTATGTTATCCTCTGTGATGGTGGCTTCTCCGATGGCTGGTATGGGGTTGAGCTACACAAACCCCCCCCCTTCCAAAACGAGGTTCCTCAGTGTTGTGCCTCAGTTTCCACACTGTGGGATGCGGCCACGGTGGTGGCTTCTCCAATGGCTGATATAAGGGTTCAACCCCCACGGAGTCACCCCCGGTGGCGCGGTGGCGCAGGAATACGGCACCCACCTGGTTTAGGGGTGGTCCAGGTTCATCTGTTGGTGTCTGATGGGTCCTATCCTGCTCCGTGTCCTTGTCCTTGTTCTGCTGTCGGTCCTGGTCCTGGTTCTGATGTGGGTCCTGGTCCCCAGCCTGGATCCAGTCCTTTTCCTGGTCCCAGTTCTGGTCCTGGTCCCGGTTCTGATGTGGGTCCTGGTCCCAGTTCTGGATTCGGTCCTTGTCTTGGTCCTGGTCCTGGTCCTGATGTGGGTCCTGGTCCCACTTCTGGATCTGGTCCTTGGTCCTGGATCTGCTCCTGGTCCAGATCCTGCTCCTGGTCCTGGTCCCAGTCCCGATCCCATTCCCCATCCCGCTCCCTCCTTGCCCCCCCCATGTCCATCACCCCCCAATAGAGACCCCGACTAACGCGATGTCCCGACGGTGGCTGCCGCCGGCATCTTCTGTCCTGGCAACTGATGACGCGCATCCAACGCGGGCTCTCATTGGCTGCCTCACGGATGGGTCACTCGCCTTGCCCAGTGACCCACGGATGTGGGGCAGGAGGATCCCGGCAGGACCCAGAGATGCTGCTGCTGCTGCTGGGGCTGCTGCTGGGGGTCCCGGGGGCAGGTGGGGGCCGGAAGAGGGGGATTTGGGGGTGATCGGGGTGGGGGGGTTCAGACCTATGAGACATTAGGGGCGGTTTGGGGGGGGGGGCAGCCCTATAGGACACTGGGGGAAGTTTGGGGGCATTCTGCCCTATGGGACATTGGGGATGGTTTGGGGGGGCCCAGCCCTATGGGACAGTGGGGGCGGTTGAGGGGGGCTTAGCCCTGGGGGTCCCCAAGTGATGATTTCAGAGGGCTTCAGGGGTTTGGATTGATGGGGAGATGGGAATAGATGGAGAGATGGGAACGGGGAGGGATGGGGATGGATGGAGGTGCATTGGGATGGATGGATGGAGGTGCACTGGGATGGATGGAGGTGCATTGGGATGCATGGATGGAGGTGCATTGGGATGGATGGATGGAGGTGCACTGGGATGGATGGAGGTGCATTGGGATGCATGGATGGAGGTGCACTGGGATGGATGGATGGAGGTGCATTGGGATGGATGGATGGAGGTGCATTGGGATGGATGGATGGAGGTGCATTGGGATGGATGGATGGAGGTGCACTGGGATGGATGGATGGAGGTGCACTGGGATGGATGGATGGAGGTGCATTAGGATGGATGGATGGAGGTGCATTGGGATGGATGGATGGAGGTGCACTGGGATGCATGGATGGAGGTGCATTGGGATGGATGGATGGAGGTGCACTGGGATGCATGGAGGTGCATTGGGATGCATGGAGGTGCACTGGGATGCATGGAGGTGCATTGGGATGGATGGATGGAGGTGCACTGGGATGGATGGATGGAGGTGCATTAGGATGGATGGATGGAGGTGCATTGGGATGGATGGATGGAGGTGCATTGGGATGGATGGAGGTGCATTAGGATGGATGGATGGAGGTGCATTGGGATGGATGGATGGAGGTGCATTGGGATGGATGGAGGTGCATTAGGATGGATGGATGGAGGTGCATTGGGATGGATGGATGGAGGTGCATTGGGATGGATGGATGGATGGAGGTGCACTGGGATGCATGGAGGTGCATTGGGATGCATGGAGGTGCACTGGGATGGATGCATGGAGGTGCACTGGGATGCATGGAGGTGCACTGGGATGCATGCACAGAGGTGGGGGGCTGCAGGCAGCACTCACCCCCCCAGAGCTGCCCCCATGTCCCCTCCACAGCCACCTTCGTGGTGCAGCTCTGGGGCTCCTGCGCTCTGGCTCCCAACGGCTCCGTCCCCGGCTTCACGCTGGGCTTCAATGGGGCCCCCCTGGTGTGCTATGAGCCTGGGGCCCCCGGGCGAGCCGTGCCCTGCGCCCCTGTGGAGCTGGGGGGCATCGCCGAGGCCCTGGCCCAGGCGCTGAGCATGAACCCGGCCTGGAGGCAGAGGATGAGGGAGAGGGAACGCGCCTGCACCCGCCTGCGGCCCCACAGCATCGGCGGCCTGGGCAGTGGTGGGTGCAGGGGAAAGGGGGTGGTCAATGGGAACATTGAATGGGGATGGTCAATGGGGATGGTCAATGGGAACATTGAATGGGGATGGTCAATGGGAACATTGAATGGGGATGGTCAATGGGGGTGGTCAATGGGGATGGTCAATGGGAACATTGAATGGGGATGGTCAATGGGGGTGGTCAATGGGGATGGTCAATGGGGATGGTCAATGGGAACATTGAATGAGGATGGTCAATGGGGATGGTCAATGGGGGTGGTCAATGGGGATGGTCAATGGGGACGTTGAATGGGGATGGTCAATGGGGGTGGTCAATGGGGATGGTCAGTGGGGGTGGTCAATGGGGATGGTCAATGGGGATGGTCAATGGGGATGGTCAATGGGGGTGGTCAATGGGAACATTGAATGGGGATGGTCAATGGGGATGGTCAATGAGGATGGTCAATGGGGATGGTCAATGGGGGTGGTCAATGGGAACATTGAATGGGGATGGTCAATGGGGATGGTCAATGGGAATGGTCAATGGAGACATTGAATGGGGATGGTCAATGGTCAATGGGGGTGGTCAATGGGGACGGTCAATGGGGGTGGTCAATGAGGGCTGTCAATGGCGGTGGTCAATGGGGATGGTCATTGGGGGTGGTCAATGGGTTGGTCATTGGGGACGATCAATGGGGGTAGTGAATGGGGACTCTCAATAGGTCCTGTCAATGGGGATGGTCATTGGGGGTGGTCAATGGGGATGGTCAACAGGGCTGGTCTATACGGCCAGTCAATGGGGTTGGTCAATGAGGCCAGTCAATGTCCTCCCTTCCCCACAGCCCCCCCCCAGGTCCGCATCACCTCCTCGTCCTCCAGGGACCCCTCTGACCCCATGCTCCTCACGTGCCACGTGTGGGGCTTCTACCCCCCATCCGTCACTGTCCTGTGGCTGCACAACGGGGACCCGGTGACCCCCAGTGACGAACCCCCCCCCGTTGTCCCCAATGGGGACCTCACCTACCAGACCCAGCTCAGCCTCAAGGCGGCCCCGGCCCATGGGGACACCTTCACCTGCTCCGTGCAGCACCCGGCCCTGGACCAACCCCTCTTTGTGGATTGGGGTGAGTCAGGTTTGGGGGGGGGCACCCCCTTATCCTTGTCACCCCAATGGGGGGGGTAGGGGGGGTGACATCAGCTCACGGTGTTGTTGTCCCCCCCTCGTCTCCAGGTCACGGGTTGCCCCCCACGCTGGTGTTGAAGGTGGTGGCGGCCACCGTGGTGATGCTCTTGGGGATCGGGGTCTTCGCCTTCGGGCTCCATCGCTACCGGGCACCGGCCCCGGGTGAGACCATGGGGACGGGGACAGTGCTTTGGGGGTGACACGGACCCTCCTCACCCCACATTCACCCCCTTTGCAGGTTACACCCCCCTCGAAGGTGACACCCACCCCATAGGTAAGGCCACGTTGTGTGTGTGTGTGTGTGCCCCCACATTGTCCCCATGGACCCCCCCGTTCTGCTGCCCCCCATGTTTGTGTCCCCATTGCAGGCTGCATCTGAGGACACCCCACTTCTCCTCGCAGTGGTGACATCGGGATGGTCCCCTCCCGGCGGTACCATTCACCCCCGGGGGGGGGGGGACACCCCCCCATGCACGGTGCTGGTGGCAATAAAGATGCTCCATGGCCTTGTGGTGGTGCTGGCAATGGGGCTCGGCACCGGGATGTGGGGCAGGGGGGGGCACGGGCCCTGCTCTGCGCTATGGGGTGGGCTGGGGGGGTCCCCTATGTCCCCCTATGGTGTCGTGTGTCCCCGCCCCCGTCTCCATTTGACTTCTCACCTCCCATTGATCTGCCTGGCACCCGATGACGTCAGCCGCGATTCGAGGTCTCATTGGTGGCCGCGGGGCGGCTCCGCCAATCACGGGCCGCAGAGAGGCCGGAGCAGGGTTTGGGGTCTCCCTCGTTGCTCACCCGCCCCGAACGGCCCCGTCCCCGCTTTGTGCCCCACTTTGTGCCCCATTTGTGCCCCCTCTGCCCCCAATGGCCTCCTCCTGTGCCCCACAGGCCCCATTTGGGCACTTACCCTCAACAAACATGGCGGATGAGGCTTCACCACCTCCCTCTGCGCATGCTCCAAGCCCTGTGGAAGGGGGGGTATTTCTTGTGGCTTTGCGCATGTGCAACAGGAAGTGAGCCCTTGGATAAGAGGCCGGGAAACCCCGTCTGGGGCCTTTCAGTAGGCCCGAGCCGCCGCCGGTGCTGCCATGTGAGAGGATATGGGGCGTCTATGGGGCTCTATGGGGCGTCTGTGGGGCTGAGGAGGGGAAATGGGTCTCTATGGGGCGTCTGTGGGGCTGAGGAGGGGAAATGGGGGGGCTCAGGGGTGTCTATGGGGTTTCTATGGGGCTGAGTGGGGGAAATGGGGGGCTATGGGGTGGCTGTGGGGCTGAGGAGGGGAAGTGGGTGCTTATGGGGTGTCTCTGGGGCTGAGATGGGGAAATGGGGCTCTATGGGGTGTCTGTGGGGCTGAGACGAAACGGGGGGCTATGGGGTGTCTGTGGGGCTGAGGAGAGGAAAGGGGGGGCTGTGGGGTGTCTGGGGCTGAGGAGAGGAAATGGGGGGCTGTGGGGTGTCTGTGGGGCTGAGGAGAGGAAATGGGGGGCTGAGGAGGGGCTATGGGGTGCCTGGGGATCTAAGCTGGGACTTGAGGGGCTCATCCCTGTCCTGGTGGGACCCATTCCCTCTCCTGTTTGATCCCACCTCCATGCCCCTCATTCATGGGATTTGCTCCCCACCTCCCCCACCCCCCCCATATTTGGGATCTGGGGCTGCCCCCCCTCACCCCCCCCCCGTTTTTCCATGGATATTCCCAGCATGTCCGACTGGGAAACCGCCCCAGCCGTGACCGAGACCCCGGACATCAAACTCTTTGGGAAGTGGAGCACGGATGATGTCCAGATCAACGACATCTCCTTACAGGTACCGCTATTGGGGTATGTGGGGCGGGGTGTGGGGGGACACAACCCTTCCCGTGGCATTCCCCCCGTTGGGAATCCCTTTGGGATTCACCCCACCCCCGTGACCGTTACCCCTATAGGATTACATCGCCGTCAAGGAGAAGTACGCCAAGTACCTGCCCCACAGCGCCGGGCGCTACGCGGCCAAGCGCTTCCGCAAGGCCCAGTGCCCCATTGTGGAGCGCCTCACCAATTCCATGATGATGCACGGCCGGAATAACGGGAAGAAGCTCATGACCGTGCGCATCGTCAAGCACGCCTTCGAGATCATCCACCTGCTCACCGGGGAGGTGGGAGCGGGGCCTCCGTGGGGCGCGCGCGGCACCCCCTTTTTCAGCCCCTGTGATGCTCATCCCGATGCTCCTCCTTTATCCCGTTCCAGAACCCCCTGCAGGTCCTGGTCAACGCCATCATCAATTCCGGCCCTCGGGAAGACTCCACTCGCATCGGCCGCGCCGGCACCGTGCGGCGCCAGGCTGTGGATGTGTCCCCCCTTCGCCGCGTCAATCAGGTACCAACCCCCCCCCCGTATCCCATTTTCCATCCCTAATTTAGGCCATTTGACTTCCCCCCCCCGGCTCCCTGCAGCTCCCTGCATCCCAATGTCCCCTTTCCCATCCCTAATTCCCATCCTTAGCCCATTTGGCTCCACCTCAGTGCATCCCAATGTCCCCTTTTCCATCCCTAATTCCCATTTTCCCTTAGCCCATTTGGCTGCCTGCATCCCAATGTCCCCTTTCCCATCCCTAATTCCCACTTTCCCTTCAGACCATTTCCCTCCCTGCATCCCAACACCCCCTTTTCCATCCCTAATTCCCACTTTTCCCATAGCCCATTTGCCTCCCTGCATCCCAACATCCCCTTTCCCATCCCTAATTCCCACCTTTCCCTTCAGCCCATTTGCCTCCCTGCATCCCAACATCCCCTTTCCCATCCCTAATTCCCATTTTTCCCTTAGCCCATTTGCCTCCCTGCATCCCAACATCCCCTTTCCCATCCCTAATTCCAACCTTAGGCCATTTGGTTCTCCCTCAGTGCATCCAAATATCCCCTTTTCTATTCCAAATTCCCATTTTTCCCTTAGACCATTTGGCTCCCTGCATCCCAACACCCCCTTTTCCATCCCTAATTCCCACTTTTCCCTTAGCCCATTTCCCTCCCTGCATCCCAACATCCCCTTTCCCATCCCTAATTCCCATCCTTAGGCCATTTGGCTCCCTGCATCCCAACACCCCCTTTCCCATCCCTAATTCCCACTTTTCCCTTAGCCCATTTGGCTCCCTGCATCCCAACACCCCTTTTTCCATCCCTAATTCCCACTTTTCCCGTAGCCCGTTTGCCTCCCTGCATCCCAACATCCCATTTCCCATCCCTAATTCCCACTTTTCCCTTCAGCCCATTTCCCTCCCTGCATCCCAACACCCCCTTTTCCATCCCTAATTCCCACCTTTTCCCTTCAGGCCATTTGGCTCCTGTGCACCGGAGCCCGGGAAGCCGCTTTCCGCAACATCAAGACCATTGCGGAATGCTTGGCGGACGAGCTCATCAACGCTGCCAAGGTGAGGATGAGGATGGGATGCAGGGATCACCTTTGTGCCATTCCTGTTGGGAACGGGGACCCACGGATCCCCCCCCACATCCAACCTTGATCCCTTCGTTCCAGGGCTCTTCCAACTCCTACGCCATCAAGAAGAAGGATGAGCTGGAGCGCGTGGCCAAATCCAATCGTTAGGAGCCTCCCGTGGCTCTTCCCTCCCAATAAATGGCCTTTGCCTTTGGATGTCCTTGGGAAAGAGCAGGGAAAACCTGGATCGAGGGATGGGAGAACGGGAATGGGCTTTAGAGTGGGAGGTGGGGATGGGATAAGGGCAGGGGATTCCTCCCTCTGCTGGGATGGGGTGAATGGGGAAGGGTTGGGGTGCTCCAATGGCAATGGGCCCCGTGGCGTTGGGCTCTTTCATCCCAAAGCAAGCTGGGATTCCATGGAATTGCCCCAAAATGACACAAATCAGCCCAGTTGGACCCAAAAAGGACCTGAATGCCCTGGTCAGGGGGTTTGGTGGGGTGTTTTGGGGGTATTTCAGTGTATTTTGGGGGTTTTGTGTGATTTTGGGTGTATTTTGTGTTTTTTGGAGGGGGTATTTCCATGTATTTTTGGGGTAGTTTGGGGTTTTGTGGGATTTGGGGGGTATTTCAGTGGATTTTGGAGGTATTTTGAGGGTTTGTGGGATTTGGGGGGTATTTCAGTGGATTTTGGAGATATTTTGAGGGTTTGTGGGATTTTGTTGGGGGTATTTCAGTGGATTTTGGAGGTGTTTTGGGGTGGTTTTGCGGTATTTTGGGGATATTTCAGTATATTTTAGGGTTTTGGGGGCTATTTGCGGGGTTTGTGGTATTTTGGGGGTATTTCAGTGTTGTTTTGGGTGGATTTATGGTAATTTAGGGGTATTTTGGGGTGGTTTAGGGGTCTTTGGCGCTCCGCGTGCTCACCCCATGCCCCGGAACCACTCTGCCGCTGCCCTCGCTGCAGGCCGGAAGTACTTGGGAGGCCGGACCGGAAGTCCCCGAGGCATCCCCCGGCAACCGGGCGGAAGCGGTTTGCGCTTTTCCCCGCGCTTTCGTTTTGTCTCCGCCAATCAGCGTGCAGCCCCGCCCCTCACCCAGCCAATCGGCGGCCGTCGCTAGGCAGGTTATGCAAATGAAGGGGAAGTGAGCGCGGTGCACTGTGGGAAAGCGTGGGGTCCATCCCTGCTGCGGCCCGGTGCTACCGGTACCTCCCGGTGTCCCCCCCCGGTCCTACCGGTACCCCCCGGGTCCCCCCGCGATGCTGGCGCTGCCCCCGGGGCTCACGGAGGAGGAAGAGGCGCTGCAGAAGCGGTTCGCGAAGCTGAGGAAGAAGGTGGGGGGGTTATGGGGGGCTATGGGGTCTTATTGGGGGGCTATGGGGGAGCTATGGGGTCTTATTGGGGGTTATGGGGGGGGGTCTATGGGGTGTTATGGGGAGCTATGGGGGGAGTCTATGGGGGGGTCTGTGGGGTCTTATTGGAGGTTATGGGGGTCTATGGGGTCTTATTGGTGGTTGTGGGGTGGTATGCGGGGTCTATAGGGTCTTACTGGGGGTTATGGGGGGCTATGGGGTCTTATTGTGGGTTATGGGGGGCTATGGGGGGTCTTTAGGGTCTTATTGGGGGTTATGGGTGGCTATGGGGTCTTATTGGGGGTTGTGGGGCGGTATGCGGGGTCTATAGTGTCTTATTGGGGGTTATGGGGAGCTATGGGGGGTCTATGGGGTCTTAGTGGGGCTTGTGGGGGATCTATGTGGTCTTAGTGAGGGTTATGGGGGTCTATGGGGGGCTCTAGGGGGGGTCTATGGGGTCTTAGTGGGGGCTATGGGGGGGTCTATGGGGTCTTAGTGGGGGTTATGGGGGGCTATGAGAGGTTATTAGAGGCTATGGGGGGTTATGAGGGGGTCTGTGGGGTCTTAGTGGGGATTATGGGGGTCTATAGGGGGGTCTGTGGGGTCTTATGGGGAGCTATGTGGGGGATCTATGTGGTCTTAGTGAGGGTTATGGGGGTCTATGGGGGGCTCTAGGGGGGGTCTATGGGGTCTTAGTGGGGGCTATGGGGGGGTCTATGGGGTCTTAGTGGGTGTTATGGGGGGCTATGAGGGGTTATTAGAGGCTATGGGGGGTTATGAGGGGTCTATGGAGGGCTGGGGGGGCTATGAGGTCTTATTAGGGGCTATGGGGGTTACGGCGGGGTCTATGGGGGGGTATGGGGTCTTATTGGGGGTTATGGGGGTCTAAGGGGGGCTATTAGGGGCTATGGGAATCTATGGAGGGCTATGTGGGGGTTCTTAGGGGTTATGGGGGTCTATGGGTGGTTATTAGGGGCTATGGGGGGTCTATGGAGGACTATGGGGGGTTATTAGGGGTTATGGGGGTCTATGGGTGGTTATTAGGGGCTATGGGGGGCTATAGAGGGCTATGGGGGGATATGAAGTTTTAGTTGGGACTATGGGAGGGTTTATGGAGGGCTATGGGGAGTTATTGGGGGTTATGGGGGTGTTATAAGGGGTCTATGGAGGGCTGGGGGGGTATGGTTTCTTATTGGGGGTTATGGGGGTCTCTGTGGGGGTTATTGGGGGCTGTGGGGTCTTATTGGGGCTTATGGGGTCTTATTAGGGGCTTTGGGGGGGTATGGGGGTGTTTATAAGGGGTCTATAGAGGCCTATGGGGCAGGCTATGGGGTTTTATTGGGAGTTATGGGGTTCTGTGGAGGGCTGGGGGGGGTTATGGGGGGTTATAAGGGGTCAGTAGAGGGCTATTGGAGTTGAGGGACTTAATGGGGGCCTGTGGGGGTGTTTCTATGGGGTTTGGGGTTTTTCTATGCATCCCTAGGTCTCTATGGGGTCTCTATGGGGTCTCTGTGTGCTGGGGTGCCCCTGACCCCCCCATTTCCCCCCCTCCCTGCAGAAGAAGGCGCTGTTGGCACTGAAGAAGCAGCAGAATGCGGCCGGACCCAGCGGGCAGGGGGGGATCAAGCGATGTGAGGGGGGGGGAAGCCTATGGGGCGGGGGCGGGGTTTGTGTTCATTTGGGGCTCATTTGGGGGCTCTATGGGGAGCTAAAGGGGCTGCTTCCCCCCCCCACCCCCAAACCTGTTTATTTGGGGGTCCCATTGGGTGTCCTGGGTGGATTTGGGAGCTCCCAAGGGGGGATTTTGGGGATCAATGAAGGGGGCGGGTTTGGGTGCCCCACACTTGGGGGTCCCCATAGGGCTCTCTGACCCCCATCCCACCCCATAGCCCTATCGGATCAGCCCCCCCTGGACACGGCCATGGCCACGGAGCAGGCGAAGCTGTTGGTGAAGTCGGGGGCCATCAGCGCCATCAAGGCCGAGACCAAGAACTCGGGGTTCAAACGCTCCCGGACCCTCGAGGGCAAACTTAAGGTTGGGCCCCCACCCCCCTTTCCCCCCCAAACCCCATGGGGGGTCCTCATTACCTTGGGTACCCCATAGGACCCCGAGAAGGGCCCGATCCCGACCTTCCAGCCCTTCCAACGCAGCATCTCTGCTGATGACGACACCCAAGAGGTACCTGGGGGAAGGGGGGGGGGATCCCCCACATTTTGGGGGTCCCCCCAATCACCATGTGTGTGTCACCCCCCCACTTTCAGTCGCGTCGACCACAGAGGAAGTCGCTCTATGAGAGGTAAAGGTGCCCCCCCCCCAAGTTTGGTTGTCCCCCCCATTGATGTTGAACCCCCCCATTAATTTGGGGTGTCCCCCATTGATGTTGAACCCCCCCATTAATTTGGGGTGTCCCCCCCATTGATGTTGAACCCCCCCATTAATTTGGGGTGTCCCCCCCATTGATGTTGAACCCCCCCATTAATTTGGGGTGTCCCCCCATTGATGTTGAACCCCCCATTAATTTGGGGTGTCTCCCCCATTGATGTTGAACCCCCCCATTAATTTGGGGTGTCCCCCCCATTGATGTTGAACCCCCCCATTAATTTGGGGTGTCCCCCCCCTTTCCCCCCAAGCTTTGTGAGTGCCAGCGAGAGGCTACGGGACTCTGAGGGGGGGTCGAGCTCAAGGGGGGACCCCCCCGAGCGAGGGGAGCGGCGCCTGGAGTGGGAACAAGACCCGGAGCCGGAGGAGCGGAGCCGGGACCGGGATGGACCATTCCGAAGTATGGGGGGGGGGCAGCAATGGGGGTCCCCAAAGGGGGGGTGTTTTTGGGGGTCCCTCACCCCATTTCCCCCCCCCCATTTTTAGGGTCGGACTCGTTCCCCGAGCGCCGCCCCCCCCGCAAAGGGAACACTTTGTACGTGCACGGAGTGGAGCTGAGCCCGGAGCTGCTGCGCGGAGCCTTCGGCCCCTTCGGAGCCATCATCGACCTGGCCATGGACACCCCCAGGAAGTGGGCGGGGCTTCGGGGAGGGGGGGCGTGGTTTGGGAGGCATGGATCATTGTTAAAAGGGGGCGTGGCTAAGGGAAAGGGGTGGAGTCAAGCTTCAACCCGATTGGCTATACTCCCTTTAAGGGGCGGGGCTAAATGGAGTGGGAGGGGTCAAGCTTCAACCCCAATGGCTATAATTGTTTCCCTTTAAGGGGCGGGGCTAAAGGAAAGGGGCGGGGCCAGGCTTCAACTCCATTAGCTACAGTCTATTTAAAGGGCGGGGTTAAAGGAAGGGGGCGGGGTTAAGCTTCAACCCATTGGTTATAAGTGAGTCGTATCCCTTTAAGGGGCGGGGCTAAAGGGAGTGGGAGGGGTCAAGCTTCAACCCCATTGGCTGTAATTGTCTCCCTTTAAGGGGTGGGGCTAAGTTTCAACCCCATTGGCTACAAGTGAGTTGCTTCCCTTTAAGGAGCGGGGCTAAAGGGAGTGGGAGGGGCTAAAGGACATTGCTGATTGGATGAGCGTGGTCAAAGGGGGCGTGTCCTGATGTAACCCCACCCTCTCCCTCCCCAGCTGTGCCTTTGTCACCTATGAGAAGATGGAGTCAGCGGATCAGGCCATTGCCGAGGTGGGGGGGGGGGGGGGGGTTGGGGGCCCCGGGGGGTGATGTGGGGCTCTATGGGGGGAGTTTTGGGGTGCTGACCCCCCCCCCCTTACCCCCTCCAGTTGAATGGGGCCGTGGTCCAGGACGTGCAGCTCAAAGTCAGCATCGCCCGGAAGCAGCCGCTGCTGGATGCGGCCACCGGGAAGTCTCTGTGGGGGTCCCTGGGTGAGCGTTGGGGGGCTCTGGAGGGTCCTGTGGGTCACAGGGACCCCATAACCCCCCTATGGGGTAAGAATGGGGTCCCCCCTTCACCCCTGACCCCCAGTTCTTGTCCTTCCCCCCCCCACAGCGGTGAAGAACAGCGCAAAGGGCTCCCACAGGGACAAGCGCACGCAGATTGTCTACAATGAAGACCTATTTGGGGGGCAATAAATGACTCCCCCCCCCTTTCAACGGTGCCTCTTTGGGGGGTCCCAATCTCATGGGGGGGTGGCACATCAATGGGGGGGTAACACGTGTAGAAAGGGCGTTACTGGGGGTCCCTATGGGCACAGGGGGTCATTCCACTCCCTCCCAGTATCCCCAGTGGCCTCCCCAGTCCCTCCCACTCCATTCCAGTCCATTTGGGGGCATTTTAGGGCTGTTAGTACAAAACACCCCAAAACCAGTCCTAAAATACCCCCAAGCACCCCAAAGCATACTGGAACACCCCAAAAATACCTCAAAAGACCCTGAAATACCACGAAACACACCAAAACAACCCAAACCCCACGCTCAAATACCCCTAAAACACCCCAAACCCCACGAAAACACACCAAAACACACTGACCCTCAGCAAAAAAACCCTACTAACCACTCCAAAATCGCCCTGAATCACCCCAAACTGCCTCTCATCCCATCTCACCTTGACCACAGCTCCGTGGTGGAACGTTCCCGATGTCCAATTCCCAATCCCCCTTTCTCCTGCCCTGTATCCCAGCCCTTTGGGATGCTCCCGGACAACATCATCAGGCCCAGGTAGACGTGGCTTTATTGCCAATCACTGCTCCCCATTGCTGGGGGCATCACCACCCCATAGCAGGGACCCGGCTCCGTGTCCTCACTTCCCCAGGGATCGGCCCCATGGCAGGGCCCAGCCCCACGGCGCGGTCGGCCCCGGCCAGGAGCCGTGGGCAGTGGGTGATGAGCAGCAGCGTCCTGGTGACCCCCAGCTGCACCCAGCGCCATGGCTGTGGGACAGCAGCACCCTCAGCACCCGCTATGGGGCTGAGACACCACCCCCACACCCCCCCCCCCACATCATCATCAGCCCCACATCACCTCCAGTTCCTCGCCGCCCTCCAGGGCGCTGGTGGGCTCATCGAGGATGAGGACGGTCGGTCGGCGCAGCAGAGCCCGGGCTATGGCCACGCGCTGCCTCTGCCCCGCTGAGAGCTGTGCCCCTTTGTGCCCCACATCTATGGGGCGCAGAATGGGGGGGGGGGGTGATCAGGATGTGGGGGATTTGGGGTCCTATCCCCCCCAGCAGCACTCACCGGTGTCCAGCCCCTGCTCCAGGCCCGTGATGAAGCTCCAGGCTCCGGCCAGCGTGGCGGCCGCCTTCACCTTGTGCTCCCCGGCGCCTTCCAGCCCCAGGGTGATGTTGTCTCGGATGGTTCCGGAGAAGAGGATGGGCTCCTGCTCCACCAGCACCACCTGGGAATGGAGCCATGGAATCCCAGGCACGGATACCTTTCGCTAGGGCAGGATGCTCCAAGCCCCATCCAACCCAGCCTTGAAAGGGATGGAGCATCCAAACCTTCTCCATTCAACGCATTCCGATGTCCCACCACCACCCTCTTCTTCCTAGGATCCATCTAACTCTTCCAGTTGGAGCCTCATCCCATCCCATCCCGTTGTGGTTGACCACAACTCTTGGAATGGGACCATCCGGCCAGCCAAACCCACGTCTCTCCATTCAGAGACAAGGATGTGGTGCGTATCCACGCCCATCCCTGCTCACCACCATCGTAGATGGCCACCAAGATGGATTTGCCCGTGGTGAAGCCCTCACCTCCTGGTGCAGGTACCGGTGCTCGTAGTCCCTCAAGGGGACCCCGTCCAGCAGCACCTCCCCGCTCTGGGGCTCATAGAACCTCTTGAGCAGCGCCGCGCAAGAGCTCTTCCCGCTGCCGTTGGCTCCCACCAGCGCCGTCACCTCGCCGGGGAGCACCTCGAAGGTGACGTCCTACATGGGGAGGGTGGCATCACCCATGGGGCACTTCGGGTGCCCAAGGGGTGTCCGTCCCCCCCCTCCCCATAGGTACCTGCAGGACGAGACACTCGGGGCGCGTGGGGTAGGCGAAGGTGACGCGGTGGAAGGCGACGTGGCCGCGGAGGGTGGCCGGGCGCTGGGTGCCACCGGTGCCACCGGTGGGGATGTGGTGGAGGTTGGCCAAGAGGCAGCGGCTGGCGGCGGCTTTGGCCAGGAGTTCGCCGTGGCTGCTGAGCAGGGCCTGGTGGTGGAAGCAGGGATGGGTGGACATGGAAAAGGGATGGGTGGATATGGAGAAGATGGATATAGAAAGGGGATGGGTGGATATGGAGAGGGGATGGACATGGAGAACATGGACATAGAAAAGGGATGGACGGACATGAAGAAGATGGATGGACACAGAGAAGATGGACATGGAAAAGGGATGGGTGGATATGGATAAGATGGTCATAGAAAAGGGATGGGTGGATATGGAGAGGGGATGGATGGACATGGAGAAGATGGACATGGAAAAGGGAAGGATGGATGGACATGGAGAAGGTGGACACAGAAAAGGGATGGATGGACATGCAGAAAATGGACATAGAAAGGGGATGGATGGACATAGGGAAGACAGATGGACATGGAGAAATGAACATAGAAAGGGGATGGATGGATATGGAGAAATGGACACAGAAAAGGGATGGATGTATATGGAGAGGGGATGGGTGGACGTGGAGAAGATGGATGGACACGGAGAAGATGGACATAGAAAAGGGATGGGTGGATATGGAGAGGGGACACCACATCACAGGGCCTCACCTCCACATGGTCCCTGAACCTGGCCTGGTAGAGCAGGAAGGTGCTGAGATCCCCGGCGGTGCAGGAGCCGTCCCGGAGCAGCTGATACCCTTGGAACAGCACCAGGACCTGCAGCGCCAGGAGCAGCACCTGCGGGGCCCGGATCAGTGGGGTACTGGGATCAGCGGGACAGGGATAAGTAGGACACCAGGGAGGGGGACAGGAGACACGGCCCCCTCCATACCCGCTGGACCAGGACGTAGAGAATCCACTCCAGCTTCAGGCGCTGCTTCAGCCTCAGCAGCTCGGTCACGGCCCTGCAGTGCCGCTGCTCCTCCTCCTCCTCCCCGGCGCAGGCCCGAACCGTGCCCATGGCAGCCACCGTGTCCTGCACCACCGCGGCCGTGGCGGCCGTGGCATCCAGCACCGCACGCTGCAGCGCCTGGCCATGGAGACGCACACATCCCATCCTATCCCATCCCATCCTCATCCCACCCTGTCCCCATCCCATTCCATCACCCCACCCCTCTTGTGTCCCCACCATCCCATCCTTTTGGTACCCATCCTGTCTCCACTGTCCCACCCCATCCCATCCTTTTGGTACCCATCCCATCCCACCATCCTCTCCCCACTCCACCTGGTAGCGCTCATCATAGACCTTCCTGGTGACGATGGTGAGGGGCACCGTCAGCGCTGCCAGCAGCGCCAGCTCAGGTGACAGCAGCACCATGAAGCCCCCCAAGCCCAAGACCAGGCCCAGGCTCCTCAAGGCCACGTTGGAGCTCTTGGGCACGGCCCCGCACAGCAGCGGCACCTCGTTGGATAACTGGGCACAGAGCTTGGCTGCGGTGACAGGCACGCGGTGAGCGCCGGTGCCGGCGCTGGGATGGGGATGGGGGGGTGATGGGGGCACCACCAACCTGCTGGAGTCTCCTGGAAGAAGGTGAGGTCCCGGTGGAGCAGGTGGGAGAAGAGCTGGGTAGAAGTTGACAGCTTGAGGCGGGCTTGGGCCAAGAGGAAGAGGCCACCACGGCAGCCGGCAAAGAAGGAGCTGGGGTGGACATGGAGATGACATGGATACACCGTGGATGCATGGGTACCATCGGCATGGATGGAAGGATGGATGGATGATGGATGGATGATGGATGGGTGGATGAGGGATGGATGGATGGATGGATGGATGATGAATGGATGGATGATGGATGGATGGATGATGAATGGATGGATGATGGATGGATGGATGGATGATGGATGGGTGGATGGATGGGTGGATGGATGGATGGATGGATGGATGGATGGATGGATGGATGGATGATGGATAGATGGATGATGATGGATGGATGGATGGATGGATGGATGGATGGATGGATGATGGATGGATGGATGGATGATGGATGGATGGATGGATGGATGGATGGATGGATGATGATGGATGGATGGATGGATGGATGGATGGATGGATGGATGGATGGATGGATGGATGGATGGATGGATGGATGATGATGGATGATGGATGGATGGATGGATGATGGATGGATGAATGGATGGATGATGGATGGATGAGGGATGGATGAACAGACAGCCAACAAGGACATGTGCCCACCAACCTGCCCAGCTCCACCGCCAGCACCATGCCGAGCGCGACGCCAGTGATTCCATCCCCGCTCCTGATGGCCTCCAAAGCCTTCCCGGTGCAGTAGGGCCCAGCCACCTCCCCTGCAAGACCACGGGTGGGTGACGCTCACCACCACCATCCCCAAGCCCACCCCAAGCCCACCATCACTCACCCAACACGGCCAACGCCAAGGCCACGAAGGCACCACCAAACAGCTGCCATTCATCCCTCGCCAAGGCCAAGAGCTGCTGCACGGCCACCGCAGCCTGGGCTGCGTCGGAACCCCCTGGCATCAGCATGTCCCAGGCCACCGCGGCCACCGCGGCCGCGCCGTGGGTCGCCACCAGCCACCACGGGTTGGCCATGGCCAAGAGGGGCAGCGCGGAGCCCGGTGGCCCCAGGAGGGTCTGGAGGGTGCTGAAGGCGGCTGGGGTGAGACCGATGGTGACGGCGGCACCGCGGGGACACCGCAGGGACAGGGCCCGCGTGGCCGCGGTCAGCGTCAGCACCCGTAGCCCGGCCTCCAGCCACGCAGTCACCAGTGGCCACGGTGGCAGCACCGGGGCCACCACGGCCACCGCGGTCACCAGCACCGCATCCAGGAGCAGCAGCAGCAGCAGCGATGAGGCTGTGGCCAGGGCGGGCGGCAGAGCCATGGTGTGGAACCAGTATGGACCAGTGCGCTCCCAGTACAGCTCCCCCAGTCCCAGTCTGGAGCCTCAGCACGCTGCGGGGCACAAATGGGGTCATCACCATCAGTGCTCCCAGTACAGCCCCAGCACCCTGGGGCACTCCCCAGTCCACACCAGTGCTCCCAGTACAGCCTCAGCACCCTGGGGCACTCCCCAGTCCACACCAGTGCTCCCAGTACAGCCTCAGCACCCTGGAGCACTCCCCAGTCCACACCAGCACTCCCAGTACAGCCTCAGCACCCTGGGGCACTCCCCAGTCCACACCAGCGCTCCCAGTACAGCCCCAGCACCCTGCCCAGCACCCTGGGGCACTGACCAGTCCACACCAGTGCTCCCAGTACAGCCTCAGCACCCTGGGGCACTCACCAGTCCACACCAGCGCTCCCAGTACGGTCCCGTTTGCTTTCACTTTCGAGGCCCCGCCCCCTTCCTTTTTTCCTCCAATCACCACTCCTATAGCCCCGCCCTCTTTTAGCCCCGCACCTTCCGTCTTCATCCTGCTCCAGCTCCATCTGCCCAGCAACCGATGACGCGGCCTCCCTTGACCAATCAGAGCCGCCTTCGATCGCTTTCGCTTTCGATGCTCGGAGGAACCGGAGGGTCCGAGGGGTCCCGGGGCACCCCCAATGGCTCCAAACCCCTCCCGCCGCTTCCTGGAGCTGTTTCGTCCCGAGCAAAGGCGCTGCACGATCGTGGCCGGGCTGATGGTGGCCTCAGTACTCGGTACTTGGAGGGCAGGACCCATGATGGGGGGGGTAGGAGCCATTGGGGAGGGCAGGAGCCATGGGGGGGTACAATGGGGTGTGGGATGAGGGGGAATTCCCATGTCCCATATCCCCATATCCCTATATAGCCATGACCCTCACGTCCCGTATCCCCCTCTCCCCATATCCCTATATAGCCATGACCCTCACGTCCCATATCCCCCTCTCCCCATATCCCTATATCTCCATGACCCTCACGTCCCATATCCCCATCTCCCCATATCTCATCTCCCCATGTCCCTATATCTCCATGACCCTCACCTCCCACATCCCCATCTCCCCATCCCTCACACCCCCACGCCCCCAGCTGAGGTCACCGTCCCCTACTTCATCGGCCACGTCTCCGACTGGGTGGCCAGCGAGGACAAATTGGCAACCATCGTCTCCATTGTGCTGCTGGGGGTCACCAGGTAGGCCAGTGACACCACGGGGGGCTCAGAGGGGGTGACAAGGGGACACCCTCCCCCTAACAGAGCCCACCCCACCGCCCCCCAATGCCACCCCAGTGCCGTCACAGAGTTCACCTGCGATGCCACCTACGTGGGCACCTTGAGCCGGGTCTTTGGCCACCTCCACGCCCGGGCCTTTGCCGCCATCCTGCACCGGGACCTGTTGGCGTTACAGGCGCTGGGCGCCGGCGCGGTGACGTCGCGGGTGACCGGGGACGTCGATGCCACCCATGAGGCCGTGGCCGACGCGCTGCTGCTGCTGCTGTGGGAGCTGGCGCGGGCGATGCTGCTGCTGCTCCCCATGGCTTGGGTGGCCCCAGTGCTGGCCATCACCACCCTCCTGGCAGTGCCGGTGCTCCTGTTGGTCGCCCAGGCTATGGGCAGTGTCCAGCAGGTACCTATTGGGGGGGACGGACATCGGCACCTCCACGTGGGTGCTGTCCCCTCCATGTCCCCCCATCACCTCCCCGTGTGCTCCTTGTCCCAGGGGCTGTCCCAACGGGTGCAGGAGGCGCTGGCCGGTGCCACCGGGGTGGCCATGGAGACCTTCGAGGCCATGGGCACCGTCCGTGGCTTCGCCTTCGAGGCCGGAGCGGTGCAGAGGTACCAGGAGCAACTGCAACGGGTGCAGAGGCTGGAGGCCACCCAGGCGCTCACGTACGCGGCCACCGGCTGGATCAGTGGGGTACGGACGTGGGGATATGGGGGGGGACACACATGGGGATAGCAGGACACAGGGGGCTCTGAGGTCATGGAGACATAGGGGTGGCCATGGGGACCCATTGATGATGGTTGGGGACACAGGGGTGGCCATGGGGACCCATTGGTGATGGTTGGGGACACAGGGGTGGCCACTGGGACCTGCTGGTGATGGTTGGGGTCACGGGGGTGGCCATGGGGACCCATTGATGATGGTTGGGGACACAGGGGTGGCCACTGGGACCTACTGGTGATGGTTGGGGTCACGGGGGTGGCCATGGGGACCCATTGGTGATGGTGACATAGATGCAGTGGCACAGGGCAAGGCTGGGAACTCAGTGTCCCTATGGAGGTGCCCGTGACCAGGAAGGGGGACAGGGGACCCCCCCCCATTGGTGTCCCCTGGTGCTGGGTGACCTCCCATCCGTGTCCCCCAGTTCTTGGCGCTGGCTTTGAAGTTGGGGCTCCTCTACTACGGGGGACAGATGGTGGCCGCAGGGACCATCAGCACCGGGGACCTGGTCACCTTCCTCATGTACCAGATGCAGTTCACCAGCTCCATCAAGGTGGCTCCAATGTCCTCTCCCAACGTGTGCCCATCCGCTGTGTCCCCAGTGCTGGTCCCATTGTGTCCCCTTCTCTGTGTCCCCCAGGTCCTGCTCCATTACTACCCCAGCCTGACCAAGGCCGTGGGCTCCTCGGAGAAGGTCTTGGAGTTCCTGGATGAGGAGGAGCAGAGGGCACCGGAGGGGACACTGGAGCCCGAGGTGCGGGGTCACCTCAAGCTTGAGGATGTCTGGTTCTCCTACCCCGAGCAGCAAGAGCCCGTCCTCAAGGTGGGCACTGGGATACGGTGGGGCAGGGGGACATGGAGGGGGTCATGGGGATGTGGATGGGGACATGGATGGGGTCAAGGATTGGGCCATGGGGACATGGATGGGGGCGTGGATGGGGGCATGGATGGGGTCATGGATTGGGCCATGGGGACATGGATGGGGACATGGATGGGGGCATGGATGGGGACACGGAGGGGGTCATGGGGACGTGGATGGGGTCATGGATGGGGACGTGGATGGGGTCGTGGGGACATGGATGGGGTCATGGATGGGGCCATAGGGACATGGACGGGGACATGGATGGGGACATGGGGACATGGATGGGGACATGGATGGGGACATGGATGGGGACATGGGGAGATGGATGGGGTCATGGGGATATGGATGAGGACATGGATAGGGTCATGGATGGGGACATGGGGACATGGATGGGGTCATGGGGACATGGATGGGGACACGGATGGGTCTCATCATGGGGTTGGGGCCATAGGACATCACCTCTGTCCCCCAGGGCGTGTCTCTGGAGCTGCTCCCTGGGCAGGTCCTGGCCGTGGTGGGTGCCCCGGGTGCGGGGAAGAGCACCCTGGTGTCCCTGGTGCTGGGCTTGCACCAGCCCCACCGCGGGAGGGTGCTGCTGGATGGGCACCCGCTGCCCGCGTACCGGCACCGCCACCTGCGCCAGCAGGTGCCAGCAATGGGTCCCCAACCATCACCAACGGGTCCCCATGGCCACCCCTGTGTCCCCAACCATCACCAATGGGTCCCCATGGCCACCCCTGTGTCCCCAACCATCACCAACGGGTCCCCATGGCCACCCCTGTGTCCCCAACCATCACCAATGGGTCCCCATGGCCACCCCTGTGTCCCCAACCATCACCAACGGGTCCCCATGGCCACCCCTGTGTCCCCAACCATCACCAATGGGTCCCCATGGCCACCCCTGTGTCCCCAACCATCACCAACGGGTCCCCATGGCCACTCCTGTGTCCCCAACCATCACCAACGGGTCCCCATGGCCACCCCTGTGTCCCCAAACATCACCAACGGGTCCCCATGGCCACCCCTGTGTCACCAACCATCACCAACAGGTCCCCAAGGCCATCCCCATGTCACCAGACAAGCACCATGTTCCATGTCCCCATGTCCCACATCCCCATGTCCCATATCCCACATCCCCATGTCCCCATGTCCCACATCCCCATGTCCCATATCCCACATCCCCATGTCCCCATGTCCCATGTCCCCATATCCCACATCCCCATGTCCTATATCCCCACATCCCCATGTCCCACATCCCATGGGATACTGGGAGAGTCCATCCCCATGTCCCACATCCCATGGGATACTGGGAGAGTCCATCCCCATGTCCCACATCCCATGGGATACTGGGTGAGCCCATCCCCATGTCCCACATCCCACATCCCCATGTCCCCATCTCCCACATCCCCATATCCCATATCCCCATGTCCCATGTCCCCAGGTGGCCGTTGTCCCCCAGGAACCGCTGCTGTCCTCCCGCTCCCTCCACGCCAACATCTCCTATGGGGCTGGTGGCCGGAGCCGGGCGCAGGTGACAGCGGCCGCTCGCCGCGCCGGTGCCGACCCCTTCATCCGGCGCCTGCCCCACGGCTACGACACCGGTACCGCACGGCTGTCCCCACATCCCTGTATCCCATAGCATCCCAATGGGTCCCCATGGCCCTCCATGGCCCCATCTCCCTCCCTGCAGAGGTGGGGGACCTGGGGACGCAGCTCTCCGGGGGACAACGCCAGGCCGTGGCCATTGCTCGTGCCCTGCTGAGGGACCCCCGTGTCCTCGTCCTCGATGAGCCCACCAGCGCCCTGGATGCCAAGACCAGTGCTCAGGTGGGAGGTGACACCTGTGCCCCCTTTGTGTCCCCTTTGTGCCCCCTTTGTGGTCTCTTTCCATTGTCCTCAGGGGGGCCCTGGTGTCTGGGTTCCCATGGCCACCAGTCCTGGGGTCCCCTTGGTGCCTGGTCCCCTGGGGCCCTTCCCATGTCCCCATGGTCTCAATGCATCCCCATGTCCCCTTGCTCACTGGTCTCCTTGTCCACTGGGTCCTCATTCTCAGTGTCCCCTTACCCCCATGTCCCATACCCCCATGTCCCATACTCCCATACCCCCATGTCCCATATCCCCATACCCCCACGTCCCAGATCCCCATGTCCCATATCCCCACACCCCCATGTCCTATATCCCCATGTCCCAGATCCCCATACCCCCAGATCCCCCTACCCCCATGTCCCAGATCCCCACACCCCCATGTCCCAGATCCCCATACCCCCATGTCCCATTCCCATGTCCCCCCATGTCCCATATCCCCATATCCCATGTCCCATATCCCCATATCCCATATCCCCATACCCCCATATGCCCATACCCCCATATCCCCATACCCCCATGTCCCATACCCCCATATCCCCATACCCCCATGTCCCATTTCCCATACCCCCATGTCCCATATCCCCATGTCCCATATCCCCATACCCCCATGTCCCATTTCCCATACCCCCATGCCCCATACCCCCATATCACCACCCCCTATCACCACATCCCACGTCCCGCGCAGGTGGAGCAGGAGGTGCTGAGTGCCGGGCGCTCGGTGCTGCTGGTGACGGGGCGGGCGGCCCTGGCGCTGCGGGCGCAGCGCGTGGCCGTGCTGGCCGGGGGACGCCTGCGGGAGCTGAGGAACCCCAGGGAGCTCCTGCGCCCCGAGAACCGCTGCTGGGAGGCACCAGGGCATGGGGACGCAACGGAGCAGGAGGGGGGCACGGAGAGATGGGATGGGGACGGTGGGGAATGGGATGGGGACAGTGAGAACATGGATGGGGACAGGAGGAGATGAGATGGGGACACCAAATGCCAGCATGGGGGCACCAGGGGATGGGGACAGTGGGAGATGGGATGGGGACAGTGGGGAATGGGATGGGGACAGTGGGAGATAGGGACAGTGAGAACATGGATGGGGACAGGAGGAGATGAGATGGGGACACCAAATGCCAGCATGGGGCACCAGGGGATGGGGACACTGAGAACATGGATGGGGACATGAGGAGATGGGATAGGGACACCAAGGGATTGGACCACCACAAGCCACGATGGGGACACAAGGGATGGGATGGGGACACCAAGGGATGGGATGGGGACACCAAGGGACGGGATGGGGACACCAAGGGATAGGACCACCACAAGCCGACAGGGACACCAAGAGATGGGATGGGGACACCAAGGGATGGGACCACCACAAGCCATGATGGGGACACCAAGGGATGGGACCACCACAAGCCATGATGGGAACACCAAGGGATAGGATGGGGACACCAAGGGATGGGACCACCACAAGCCATGATGGGGACACCAAGGGATGGGATGGGGACACCAAAGGATGGGACCACCACAAGCCATGATGGGGACACCAAGGGATAGGATGGGGACACCAAGGGATGGGACCACCACAAGCCATGATGGGGACACTGGGCTCAGGGATGGGGACACCAGGAGCTATGAGTAGGGACCATGGAAGCTGTACCAGTTGCACGGTGGCTGGGCTGGGGACAGCACCATGCCCCTGCTGTGGGACCGTGACCACGGGGGGCACCCGTGGCTTGCACTAGGTCAGATGTACACGTGTATGCATCGCAGTCACTTCTCGCACCTCTTGGACACAAATAAAGGTTTCTCTGTTATCAATGTTTAGCAGAGTTTGCCCCATTCCCACGTCCCAGGACCCTTTTCTTGAGTACCAGGACCTCCCTGGACCTCTTTTCCCGGGCACTGGTGCCCCATTCCCTGCGCACGAAGCCCCAGATCCACCAGGATCGAGCCTTACGTCTGAGCTGGATGGGTTTCCAAAGTCACAACGATGCCTGTTCCTTATTATGGGTCTGAATCCCGACTCGTCAGGCCGGGAATCAGGGGGGTTTCCAAGAAAGATCGTTTCGCTTTCGATTTCCCAACGTCGACAGTGGGATCTGCCCGACAACCGGTGACGTCCGGAGCGGTCCGGGTTTCTTATTGGTGGGTGCTAAGGGTTAGAGCCAATAGCTGAAGAGGGGCTGGTGGCGAGGTTCCAGGGTCAGTGCTCAGAGGACCAGCGCGATGGGGCCAGGCTGTGCTGTGGGGCTCCTGCTGCTGTGCAGCCTCGGAGGGGCGGCGAGAGGTGAGCACGGGCACAGGGGCCCGGGACCCCCATGGACCTCTTCCCTGGGCACCGGTGCCCCATCCCCTATGTCCCAGGACATCCGCCTTGCCCCCCTGGGCATTGGGACGCCCCTGGACCCCCATTATTCCCCCTCTCTGGGTACTGTGATGCCCCTCAGACCCTCCCTTGCCAACATTCCCCTTCCGTGGCACCAGGAACCCCTCGGAACACTCCCTGGGACCCCCTTGGATTCCCTTTTCCAAGCACCAGGACCCCCAGAGCCCTCCGCTGGGGCTGCTTTACGGACACCCAGGACACCCCCGGTCCCCGCTTCCCATCAATCCCGACTCTCCCAGCCCTGGACCCCTCCTTTCTCTGGCACCGGGACCCCCTTCCATGAGAACAAAGACACACACACACACCCCCCACACCCCCCATCAGCCACATCCCCATCACCCCGCTCTGGAGCCCAGGTCACCCTCAGCCCTGTGTCCCCACAGTGCTCCATTCCCTGCGGTACTTCAAGTTCGCCGTGTCAGACCCCAGCCCGGGGGTTCCCCGGTACCAGGACATGGGATATGTGGATGGGGTCCCCTTTGTGCACTATGACAGCGAGAGCAAGCGGTATCAGCCCCGGACACAGTGGATTGCGGCCAATGTGGATCAGGAATACTGGGTTGGACAGACCCATATTGGACGGGGCAACGAGCAGATCTCCTACAGTAACCTGAACGTAGTGCGGGACCGCTACAACCAGAGCGGGAGTGAGTGTGGGGCAGGGATGGCGCTTCATGGGGCTGGAGGGGGCTCTGTGGGGCAGCCCCTCAGCCCCATCTCACCGGTGCTGGTGCAGGGGCTCAGACACTGCAGTACATATCTGGCTGTGACCTCCTGGACGATGGGAGCATCAAGGGGTACTCTGAGTACACCTACGATGGGCAGGACTTCATCGCCTTCGACATGGACACCATGACGTTCATCGCGGCGGACGCGGCGGCGCAGGTCACCAAGAGGAAGTGGGAACACGATGGGAGCGTAGCTGAGAGCTGGAAGAACTACCTGGAGAACACCTGCGTGGAGTGGCTGAAGAACTACGTGCGTTACGGGCAGCTCGAGCTGGAGAGGAGAGGTGAGGGTGAGATGGAGACAGTGGGGCCCGGGCCATAGAGCCATAGAACAGCGTGGCTTGGAAAGGACCTTGAGATCATCCAGTGCCATGGGCAGGGACACCTCACACTAAACCATGGCACCCAAGGCTTCATCCAACCTGGCCTTGAACACTGCCAGGGATGGGGCATTCACAACCTCCCTGGGCAACCCATTCCAGTGCCTCACCACCCTAACAGGGAAGAACTTCTTCCTTATGTCCGATCTAAACTTCCCCTGTATAAGTTTGAACCCGTTACCCCTTGTCCTATCACTACAGTCCCTAATGAGTCCATCCCCAGCATTCCAGATACCATGAGGTCTCCATGCAGCCTTCCCTTTTCCAGGCTGAACAACCCCAACTTTCCCAGCCTGTCTCCAATACAGGAGGTGCTCCAGACCCCTAATCATCCTCGTGGCTTCCTCTGGACTTGTCCCAACAGTTCCATGTCCTTTTTATGTTGAGGACCCCAGAACTGCACACAATGCTCCAAGGGAGGTCTCCCGAGAGGAGAGGAGAGCAGAGCAGAGGGGCAGGATCACCTCCTTGGCCCTGCTGGTCACGCTCCCTTTGGATGCAGCCCAGGATACGGGGTTGGCTTTCAGGGCCGCGAGCGCACGCTGTGGGCGCGTGGTCTGATCCCTGCCCACCATCCCATTCCCAGTGCCGCCCACGGTGCGAGTGTCAGGGAAGGAGACGGATGGGATCCTGACCTTGACCTGCCGCGCTCACGGCTTCTACCCGCGGCCCATCGTGCTCAGCTGGCTGAAGGACAGCGAGGTGAGGGACCAGGACACCCAATGGGGCAGCATCGCACCCAACAGCGACGGCACCTACTACATGTGGGCCTCCATCGAGGCCAGCCCCAGGGACAAGGACAGGTACCGGTGCCAGGTGGAACACGCCAGCCTCCTCCAACCCGGCCTCTATGCTTTGGGTGAGCCTTGGGGGGGCTGGGGGAGCACACGGTGGGGGTGGTTCCCCCCCTTCTACCTCCTCATCCTCCTGCTCTTCCTCCAGAGCCGCAGTCTGACCTGCACAGCACCCTGCTGGTGGTGGCTGTTGTGATGCTCATCATCATCCTCATCACGATGGGAGGGGTCTTCTGGAAGCGCACACTGGGTAAGGCCCCGTGTCCAGAGGGAGGAAGGCAGGGCAGGAGCTGCTGCTCTGGGGAGCCCTGACCAGCCCCATGGTGGGTGCTGATGTCTTTTCCTCTCTGCAGACAAGAAGAAGAAGGATGGCTACAACATGCCCCCAGGTGAGCACCGGTGCCCGAGCCAGCACCGTGGTGGTCCCGTGCCTCTGGTTTCCCGATCCCTCATCCCCTCGTAGTAGGAACTATATGGAAAAGGAGGTGTCTCCAGAGGTGTCTTTGCTGCTCACAGCTCTTTCTCTTGCAGGCATGGCCATGGGTTCTACCACCTAACCAGCAGGTACGAGCTGGGACCAGTGGGCACAGATGGGGTGGCCCCAGCTCCTCCATGGAGCCTCCATGGGATGCAGGGGGATACCGAGCCCCCCCCCTCCCCAAAGAGCAATGGGCTCTGTGGGGACAGGGATGTAGCCCTGGGTGATGCATCTCTTCCTCTTATCCCTGCAGTGACTCCTGTTTAACTCCTGCATGGGCTGGATGAGCTCCTGCAACTGGAGGCTGCTTCTTGCTGCTGACCCTCTTCTTTGCTGATAGCTGCTTAATTAATCACCGCTGGTAATGAGCATGGATTAAATCTGAAGCTTCTACTGCACAATAAATGCTGGTCTCTCTTTCTGATGGGTTCTACCTCGGGGTTGAGAGCTGGGTGGAGCCCAGCGATCCCAGATGGATCCCAGGGCACGGCACATCAACACTGCAGACACAAAAGAGATGAGATGGAGCTGGGACAAGCTTGGTGTGAGGGGTAGATGGGGGTAGAGAGGGTGTTTAGCATGGAGAAAGGCAGGAAGGTGACACCAGGTCAGCCTCTTGAATTCCATAGTGTAGGGATACCCACCTCCACCTCTCGAGGTCTGTCCTGCAGCAGTTCTTTTTCTCCTCCTTAGTAGCTGGTGCAGTGCTGGGTTTGGGCTTTAGGCTGAGAACAAAGCTGATAACAGGGATGTTTTTAGTTGTTAAGTGTAAGTTAATTGTTAAGTATTTAGCATCAAGTATTACTTAACGCTAAGTAATGCTTACCCTAACCAAGGGCTTGCAGTCTCATGCTCTGCCAAGGAAGAAGAGCACGGGAAGCCAGGAGGAAGCCAAACCAGGACCCCTAACCCAAAGTAGCCAAAGGGTTAGGGTTAGGGTTAGGACTCACCTGGAAGAGATGCTTGGGTATCGGTAGGCAGGTAGTGAGCGGCTGTATTCTCTCCCCTTGTTATTCCTCTTACCCTTATGACCATAGGTGGTAGCAGTAATGGGTTTGTGTTCTACCCTAGTTACTGCAGTGCTCTTATCTCGCCCCATGGGAGTGAGAGCTTCTCCCCATCCCACATAGTGGCACCCAACGTGGGGCTGGCAGGGTTGGGATAACACCAGATCCGAGCAGAGTGCTGTGATAAGCATTGTTCCTCATTAACAGGCATTCCTTATGGTGTTGGTGGTTGCTGTTGGGAGTTGCTCCCCTCCATCATGGGGTATCAGCGCGCTGTATCTTACTGACAGCCAGTGTTTGCTGTCGTGGGGCTGGGGTGGCTGGGCTGAGCTTGTTGTAATGATTTGTAACACAATAGATCCTTAGTGCTCATTAAACTGGTCTGGAATTGTGTGGTCATCACCTCTAGCCTATGGAAGGCATGGAATGGGAATTGGTAACCATTCCCATTCAACCTATGGAGGAGATATATCCATCCATCCCACCCGCCCAGGCTCCTTACAGTGGGAATAGATCCCAGAATCGGGAATACCCTTTCAGTGCCCTTGGAAGCATCCTGCTTCGGAAGGGATTGGTGCTGAAGCACAGCTCCTGTGGGTACCCTGGTAGCCAATGCTGGGCTGGGTGTTCAAAGGGGAGGTCTCCACAGGATCCAACCGAAGCTACATGGGGTAAATGGGTTGTACTGATCACATAATGAGCTCCAATGGGAAATCCCAGTCATCCAAGGAATTCTGGAAGTCACCATTTGGAATGACACCGGACGAGGAGGTGCTGGAGGCCCCAGCATAGAACGAAAGGCAGGCAATGAGAAGCCATCCACCTTGCTCACTGACGGGACCGCTGGCGCGGTGCAATCCCGGTGTCCTCAGTATCCAGCCATGGAGCTGTCAGAATCCATGCGGATGAGCACCTCCCACAGGGCTCCGAGGACATGGAGAGGGACCTGCAGCCCAAGGAATAACGGGTTTAAGCAGGAGATTTAGGCTGGATACAAGGAATTCCTTCACTGTGGTGCTGCTGGGACACCGGGATGGGTGGAAGGGAGAAGGCTTGGATGCCCCATGTAGAAGGAATGCTCTATGGGATGACTCTATGGCCTTGCTTAAGTCATTTGGTGCTTTAGTCATTAAATCCAGACAAGTCATTTAAAGAAACCCCAAACCAAAGCCACACAATGACACATAAACGCCAACCCCATTGCCTCTTCTCTAGGATGACTGAGTACAGAGCAGATGTGCAGCTCATTACAGCTGAAACAGCAACTTCTTCTGGATAAACACGGTTTTTCTAACATCAGATATTAATTTTATACGTTATTACTGTTAATAGAGAAAACTTTTTGCTAGGATTCTATCATTTTAATGTATTAATTGACTCGAGAACTATTACGCAGCAATACGCACAACGGAATTTATCACAGTATTTTTCCCCCCAAAATTAAAATTGGGATGCTTCAATTAAAGCATCCCAAATATTTGGCTTGAACAGACTAATATGTATTTGAATGGGGCACAGCAATGCTCCAGTCTAAGCAGCTTAGGAGCTATTTGAGCATGCGATTCCAATTGGGTTCCACATCCATTCGCTATGCTGGAAAACTTCAATGTACAGCCATGTATTTCTATCAGACGCATGAATTTGACTGTTTGTTGTTCCCTGATGTTAAAAATGAGGAATAACGGTTAAAAACACGGTTACAAGGCGCAAGCTTGCTTGATGAATCCGCTAGCAAGGGGGCTCCAATTGGAAGGGTTGGAATTGCTCCTTCCCACCCCAAACCATTCCCTCATCCCCTAGCACTGCGTTTGTAGCACGACAACCCCAGATCAGAGCAGCAAAACAGACACAAACGGGCCGAAACAGGGCGACAGAGCACATCTGGCACGGAATCCCTGCGGAATTACCTCTGGGTGAGCCGCGGTGAGGGGATCCGCTTGTGGTAACGACGGTGTCTGCGGCCTGAGGCAATGGCAGAGCCGCTATGTGCAACCTGCGGGGCTCAAAGCGGGGAATTATGAGGTAAAATACGGAGATTTTAATTCAACCCGCTGTAAAATGCAATAAACGGGCGCTCTGACGGCGACAAACCCCCATTAACACCTCACAGGAGACCCCGCATTGGGACCCCACACCGAACCCCCCCCCACAAGCGCTACAAGGGAAGTCCCCCATCCCCTTCTCCCCACCCCATCGGCTCCAAACCCGCACCCTCCTCCCCTTCTACCTCGGAGGTGGCTCCGAGCGCTGGCCCAGCCCCTTTCCCCGCCCCATAACAGCCCCAAACCCCATCACCCCAACATGGCCGCTGCGCCTCAAGATGGCGCCGGAGCCCGCCCTCCTCCTTCGCCTTCCCCTCCCTCCTTCCCGCCCTTTCTGCCGCTCAGCCAATGACAGTGGCGGGGCTGCCGTGACGTCACCGGTTGCTGGGTAGAACACGGAGGGTGGTAGCGGAGCCTGAGGGGAGGTGAAGGGAGGGGGGGGCGGCGGCCATCACCGCGCCTCAGGCCGGGTCCCCGCCGCGATGTTCTTCACGTGTGGCCCCAACGAGGCCATGGTGGTGTCGGGTGAGCCGCAGACACCCCCCCCCCTTTCCCCTTTTTCCCCTTTCCCTTGGGCGCTTGGATCCCTCCATAACAACGCTCGTCCCCTCAGGCTTCTGCCGCAGCCCCCCCGTCATGGTGGCCGGGGGCAGGGTGCTGGTGGTGCCGTGCCTGCAGCAGATCCAAAGGTGAGGAATTTGGGGGGGGGGGGGGAAGAATGGGATATATCCATAGGGATGGATACCGGGAATTGGGATCCATCCTTCCCTTAGGATCTCCCTCAACACGCTGACCCTCAACGTGCGCAGCGAGAAGGTGTACACCCGCCATGGGGTGCCCATCTCCGTCACCGGCATCGCACAGGTAACCCCCTCCAATGTACTTGGTACAGCCCCTTTTAAGGGGGACCCACCCAATGCTGCTGGGGGGGGGGGGAATCCTTCTCCCCTTCCTCTTCCTCCTCTCTATTAAGACCCCCCCTTAAAAGGGTCCTGCCATGGTGTGGAAATCCCCTCTATAAGGGGCTTGGGGGGGGGAATTCTCATCCTTGTCCCCTTCCTCTTCCTCCCCTCCATTAAGATCCCCCCTTAAAAGGGTCCTGACATGGTGTGGACCGCCCCATACGGGGCTTGGGGGGGGGGGGATCCTCTTCCTTGTCCTCTTCCTCCCCTCCATTAAGACCCCCCCTTAAAAGGGTCTTGCCATGGTTTGGACCCCCCCCCATAAGAGGCTTGTAGCGGTGGGTTCCTGCCCAAGAGGTGCAGCTTCCTCTTAAAAGGGCAATGCACCCCCTAATCATCACCATGGTGGTTCCCCCCCTCCAATCTTAAGCTCTTAAATAGGCGCCTCTTACGGAGGAGCAGCTTCTTAAAGGGGCCGCGTCCCATCGGTGTTAAAGAGGTTGTGCATGAGGCTGAACGGGTCCCGTTGGGAGCAGGTGAAGATCCAGGGGCAGAACAAGGAGATGCTGGCGGCCGCTTGCCAGATGTTCCTGGGCAAGTCGGAGGCCGAGATCGCCCAGATCGCCCTGGAGACTCTGGAGGGCCACCAGCGCGCCATCATGGCCCACATGACCGTGGAGGTAAGGGGGGGGACACAGCCCCCTTTAAAGCCCCATTCATCCCTAAGCCCCAATGCAAGCCTTGCTCCAATTGGCTCCCCATCCTTCAAGCCCCGCCCAGTGCATCGCTAAGCTCCGCCCCTTCCATAGGAGATCTATAAGGACCGGCAGAAGTTCTCGGAGCAGGTTTTCAACGTGGCCTCATCTGACCTGGTCAATATGGGCATCAGCGTGGTCAGCTACACCCTGAAGGACATCCATGATGACCAGGTGGCGTTGGGGACATGGTGGGGACAGGCAGGAATGGGGACAGGGACCAAGGGATGGGGATATGGGGATGGGGACAGTGGCTAAGGGATAGAGATATGGGGATGGGGACATGGGGATGGGATGGGGTTATGGGGATGGGGACAGTGGCCATGGGATGGGGGTATGGGGATGGGGATATGTGGATGGGAGCAGTAGCCAAGCGACAGGGATGTGGACAGTGGTCATGGGATGGGGGGATGGGGATGGGGACAATAGATGAGGTCAATGACCTTGGGGACACCACGCAAGCCCAGGGCCATCCCCACTATCCCCTATGGCTGGTGGGACCATGGGGGGTGACCTTGTCCCCTTGTCCCCAGGACTACCTGCACTCCTTGGGCAAGGGCCGCACGGCACAAGTGCAGCGCGATGCCCGCGTCGGAGAGGCCGAGGCCAAGAGGGACGCCGGGATCCGCGTGAGCCCTGCACCCCATTGACATCCCCCCCCCAACCCCTTCAATGTCCCCATGCCCACGATGTCCCTCGGTGTCCCCCCCTCCCCATAGGAAGCCCGTGCCCGGCAGGAGCAAGTCTCAGCGCAGCTGCTCAGCGAGGCGGCCATGGCCCGTGCCCAGCGGGACTTCGAGCTGCAGCAGGCTCAGTGCGACGCTGCCGTCAGCGCCCGCAAGGCCACGGCTGACCTGGCCTATGAGCTGCAGGTACCCCCCTCACCCCACTTCCATGGTGCCCCATAGCCCTCTGTGTGTGTGTGTGTCCCCACATCCCTTGGTCCCCCCCCAGACACCCCCAGTCCAAGAGCTGCATCTCCTGGTATGCTTTGCCCCCCACCAAGCATCGTGGTCTCCCCTAAGCCACCCCAATGGTGGCTTCTCCCTTTAACATTGGGGTCCCCCGCACCCACTGTGGGTCCGTTTTTGGGGGGGGGGGGGTGTGGGTGTGTGTGTAGGTGGCGAGGACGAAGCAGCAGATCGAGGAGCAGCGGGCGCAGGTGCTGGTGGTGGAGCGGGCGCAGCGGGCGCAGCTGCAGGAGCACGAGATCGGGCGCCGGGAGCTGGAGCTGGAGGCCACGGTCCGCAAACCGGCCGAGGCCGAGCGGTACCGGCTGGAGCGCCTGGCCGAGGCACAGCGGTGAGGACGTGGCCCCTTTAAGGGCTGCATCACCCCTTTAACGGAGAGCCCCACCCCAATCTCCCAAGCCATTGCCCCTTTAAGAGGGAGCCCCACCCCATTCTACCAAGCCTCATTGGTGGGACCTGCTGCCTAAATTGATGCTATTGCACCTGTAAGACAGCTTTCAGTGGGACCCACTGACTTGATGCCATTGCTCCTTTAAGAGGGAGCCCCGTCCCAGTCTGCCAAGCCACACCCCTGAATTGGTGGGACCCACTGCCTAACGATGCTGTTGCCCCTTTAAGAGGGAGCCCAGTCCCATTCTACCGAGCCTCATTGGTGGGACCCACTGCCTAATCTGATGTCATTGCCCCTTTAAGAGTGAGCTTCATCCCATTATACCAAGCCTCATTGGCCTAACTTGATGCCATTGCCCCTTTAAGAGAGCTTCACCAGGCCACGCCCCCGAACCACACCCAGTCAAGCCCCTCCCACCACAAACCACGCCCGTTCTGACGTCTCCCATTAAGCCACGCCCCCTCTTTCGCTCCGCCCCCAGTTCCCAGGTGATCCTGCAGGCAGAAGCAGAGGCTGAAGCCATGAGGGTGAGTTGGGGGGGGGGTCCCACATCCACTTATGGGGCTCTGCCCCACAGGTGTGGGTCAGAGCCCCCCAACCCCAATGTGGGGGGGCTCGGGGGTCCGCTGCAGGTGACAGGCGCAGCCAAAGCAGCGGCCGTGGCCGCCCGGGCCAGGGCAGAAGCAGCGCAAGCAGCGGCCAAGGCTGAAGCCTTCGGGCAGTACCAGGAGGCGGCCGTGGTGGAGATGGTGCTGCAGCGCCTGCCCCAGGTATGGGGGGGGCCCCATGGGGTATTTTGGGGTCCGTCCCCTCCCGTGGATGTGGGGTCCCTGGTATGGAATGGGGGGGGGGGGGAATTCCAGGGGGATTTGGTACAAGGGAGGATGCTGGGGTTCCCTCTATGGAGGTAGGTGGAACATAGGAGCTATGGGGGGGGGGGTGTGTGTGTGTGTGTACTTGGGTGCTGTGCTCCTGTTTTGGGATGAATTGGGGGTGTTTTGGGTGGTGTGTTCCCATCTGGGGGTGATTTGGGGTCGTTTTGGGTGCCAAGCTCAGTTTCAAGGGTGAATTAGGGGTATTTTGAGTGCTGTGTTCCCATTTTGGGATGATTTTAGGGTATTTTGGGTGCCGAGCTCAGTTTTGGGGGGGAATTGGGGGTATTTTTGGTGCTGAGCTCCCATTTTGGGGTGATTTTGGGGTGCTATGTTCCCATTTTGGGGTGATTTAAGGTTATTTTGGGTGCCGAGCTCAGTTTTGGGGGTAAACTTGGGGTGCTCTGGGTGCTTCAGTCCCATTTTGGGGTGATTTGGGGGTATTATGGGTGCCGAGCTCAGTTTTGGGGGTGATTTAGGGCTGTTTTGGGCCCCGTGCCCCCATTCTGGGCTGATTGTGGCCTATTTCGGGCGCAGGCGGCCGAGGCGGTGGCACAGCCCCTGCTGGGGACGCGCCGGGTGACGCTGGTGGCCGGCGGCTCCGGGGCCCTGGGGGTCTCGCGGCTGCCGGGGGAGGTCCTGGACGTGGTCACGCGCCTGCCCAGCGCCATCGAGGCCTTGAGCGGCGTCAGCATCACCCAGGTCTGCCCTTGGGGACAATGGGGGGGTCGGGGGGGGGCACCCGGGGCTGGGGTCACCTCCTCAGGGTCCTTTTGGTCCCTACAGGGTACCCAGAAGAAGAGCGAGTGCCAGGGGTGAGGCACCAACTCCTTGGAGCCCATTGTCTCCATGGGGCCACCAACCCCATGTCCCCATAGTGCCTACAGCCCCCCTGGAGCCCATTGTCCCCATGGAGCCATCAACCCCAAGCCCATGTCCCCACAGTGACTTCAACCCCCTGGAGCCTATTGCCCCATGGTGCCATCAACCTAGAACCAAATTCCCCCTGGTGCCACCACCCCTGATCCCATTGTCCCCATAGTGCCTACAACCCCCTGGAACCCATTGTCCCATGGCACTGTTGGTGCCACCAACCCCTTGAAGCCTTGTCCCCATGGGACCACCAACCCCAAGCCCATGTCCCCATGGTGCCACCACCCCAAGAGCCTATTGTCCCCATGGTGCCACCAAGCCCATGTCCCTATAGTGCCACCACCCCATAGCCTCTGTCACCCAAGTGCCACCACCCCAGGGCCTGGCTTGTCCCCAAGGGGGGGGGATGTGTCCCCACATCCCCCCATCATTAAAGCTGCTGCATCCACCCTTGGCCGGCCTGGCTCCTTCCTGATGCCTTTGGGGCCCCCACTCAAGGGCCATTGGGGGGAAGTTGGTGACCCCCAAGTCCCATGGGGCAGGGAAGAGACGACCAAGGACATAAGGCGGGGGGGGGGAATTTTCCATCCCGGGTTTATTCCTGGCCCCGGGGGCGGCTTTTCAATATGAAAAAAAAAACCCAACCAAAAAGAAAAAGAGGGGAAAAAGGTTGAAAAGGGGAAAAATGGCCCAAAATGAGGGGGAGGGGACACAGGGGGGGATGGGAGAGCCCATTTTGGGATGGGGAGTGGCAATAATTTAGTGGTGTCACCCCCCCGACGGTGGGGACGTGGTGGCCTCTGGTGATGGGGATCAAGTGGAGGCTCCTCAGTGCCCGTGAGGGTGCTGGGACTCTGTGGTGGTGATGATGATGGTGGTGGACAAGGGTTCTTCCATTGACCGTGGTGAAGGATGAGGGCTCTTCCATTGACCATGATGGACAAGGGCTGCTCCTTCATGATGATGAAGGCTCTTTGAGGACCATGATGGGCAAGGGTTCTTCCATTGACCATGATGAAGGACAAGGGCTCTTTCTTGATGATGATGAAGGCTCTTTGGTGACCGTGATGAAGAGTTGGGTATCTCTGGTGACCATGATAAAGGACAAGGACTCTTCATTTACCATGATGGACAAGGGCTCTTCATTGACCGTGATGAAGGAGGAAGGCTCTTCATTGACCATGAAGGATGAGGGCTCTTCCTTGATGATGATGAAGGCTCTTTGGTGACCACGATGAAGGACAAGGGCTCTCCATTGACCATAATGGACAAGGGCTCTTCATTGACCATGAGGAAGAGTTGGGTATCTCTGGTGACCAGCATGAAGGACAAGGACTCTCCAGTGGCGATGATGATGGACGAGGACTCATTGACCATGATGAAAGATGAAGGCTCTCCATTGACCATGATGAAGAACAAGGGCTCTCCATTGACCATGACGGACAAGGACTCTCCATTGACCACGATGAAGGACAAAGCCTCTCCAATATCAAAGAGCTTTCTCCTGCCGGACCCCAGCTCCCCGAGGAGGAGGAAGAGGAGCAAGATGAAGACCAGGACCATTCCAAAGAGCAGGATGAGGGGGGGATGCACAACAAAGACCAAACGCTCCCCGGTGACACCAGTGCAGCGCAGGGGGGGGCCGACACGACACCGATGCCAACAAGGGCGGGGTGGGGGGGCTCTGAGGATGACGATGGAGGACAAGAGGATGATGAAGGCTCTCCAAGGACATTGGGAGGGGAGGGGGGGGTTTCTCCATCCATGGCCAAGCCACCTCCATCCCTTCAAGCTTCTTCTTCGGCCTCTTCGCCGAAGTCCTCCTCTTCCTCGGCGGTGGCGTCTTGGTACTGTTGGTACTCGGAGACCAGGTCGTTCATGTTGCTCTCGGCCTCGGTGAACTCCATCTCGTCCATGCCCTCGCCCGTGTACCAATGGAGGAAGGCTTTGCGGCGGAACATGGCCGTGAACTGCTCCGAGATCCTCTTGAAGAGCTCCTGGATGGCCGTGCTGTTACCGATGAAGGTGACGGCCATCTTGAGGCCGCGGGGGGGGATGTCGCACACGGCCGTCTTCACGTTGTTGGGGATCCACTCCACGAAGTAGGAGCTGTTCTTGTTCTGCACGTTCAACATCTGCTCGTCCACCTCCTTCATGGACATGCGGCCCCGGAACACGGCCGCCACCGTCAAGTACCGCCCGTGGCGCGGGTCGCACGCGGCCATCATGTTCTTGGCGTCGAAGACCTGTTGGGTGAGCTCCGGGACCGTCAAGGCCCGGTACTGTTGGCTCCCTCGGGACGTCAACGGAGCGAAGCCCGGCATGAAGAAGTGGAGCCGAGGGAACGGCACCATGTTGACGGCCAACTTGCGGAGGTCGGCGTTGAGCTGCCCGGGGAAGCGTAAGCAAGTGGTGACCCCGCTCATGGTGGCCGAGACGAGGTGGTTGAGGTCGCCGTAGGTCGGCGTGGTCAACTTGAGGGTGCGGAAGCAGATGTCGTAGAGGGCTTCGTTGTCGATGCAGTAGGTCTCATCCGTGTTCTCCACCAGCTGATGCACCGACAAGGTGGCGTTGTAGGGCTCCACCACCGTGTCGGACACCTTGGGCGAGGGCACCACGCTGAAGGTGTTCATGATGCGGTCGGGATATTCCTCGCGGATCTTGGAGATCAAGAGGGTGCCCATGCCGGAGCCCGTGCCGCCCCCCAAGGAATGGGTCAGTTGGAAGCCCTGGAGGCAATCGCAGCTCTCCGCTTCCTTCCGCACCACGTCCAGCACCGAATCCACCAGCTCGGCCCCTTCCGTGTAGTGGCCTTTGGCCCAGTTGTTGCCGGCACCGCTCTGACCTGGGCGGGGGGGACAACACACACATGGGGGGTCACCATCATCCTCCTCCCAACACCCCCAGCCCCATTTGAGGACCTTGGGAGCCCCCATCCCATTGCTCCATTGCTGGGGGCCTTCAAAGCCAACCTTGACCCCCTCTATAGAGACCCTGAGCCCATCCTTGGGGTCTCCATCAACCGCCTTGAGGACCCCCCTTGGGTACCTCATGGGCACCCACGTCCTACGCAAGCCTCATCAACCTAATGTGGGGCCCCACAACTCCTACGGGGACCCCAAAACCCAACTGGGGGGCACCACAAGAGACCATGGCCACCAAGAAGGGGACAACAGGGACCTCCTGCCCCATTGTGCCAAGCGCTTGAAGGGCATTAAGGAGGGATGTGTGAATGGGGAACCACTGCAGTGGGTGCCCACCACCCAACCCCATGGCGACAGCCACCCAATGAAGGCAATGGCCAAGGTGGGGACTCACCAAAAACAAAGTTGTCCGGCCTAAATATCTGTCCAAAGGGTCCTGAGCGCACCGAGTCCATGGTCCCAGGCTCCAGGTCCACCAGGATGGCCCTCGGCACATACTTCCCCCCTGGGGACAGCACCGTGTCACCAAGGTGGAGTGGGGATGGGGTGGTGATGGGCATATGATGGTGGGGACATGGTGATGGGGATATGGTGGTGATGGGGATATGATGGTGGGGACACGGTGGTGATGGGGACACAGTGATGGGGACATGGTGGTGATGGGGATATGATGGTGGAGACACGGTGATGGGGATGTGGTGGTGATGGGGACACCATGATGGGGATGTGATGGCAATGGGGACACGGTGGTGATGGGGACGTGGTGGTGATGGGGACACCATGATGGGGATGTGGCGGTGATGGGGATGTGGTGGTGATGGGGATGTGGTGATGGAGATATGGTGGGGACACAGCGGTGGTGGGGACATGGTGGCAATGGGGTCACTGTGGTGATGAGATCATGGTGGTGATGGGGACATGGTGGTGATGGGGACATGGTGGTGATGGGGACGTGGTGGTGATGGGGACGTGGTGGTGATGGGGACATGGTGGTGATGGGGACGTGGTGGTGATGGGGACGTGGTGGTGATGGGGTCATCCTACCGGTGGCCTCATTGTAGTAGACACTGATGCGGTCGAGCTGGAGGTCGCTGTCTCCATGGTAGGTGCCGGTGGGGTCGATGCCGTGTTCATCGCTGATCACCTCCCAAAACTGATTGGAGGGGGGGGGGGAAGAAAGGGGAAGGGGGTGTCAATGAGGCCCCGCCCCCTTTCCTTTCCCCTCCAATGAGAGGAGAGGAACCAAGAAGGTTCGGCCCCTCCCCTTGCTCCCATAGGGGCTGGGGATGAATGGAGAGGGCTGTGATTTAAAAGGGGGTGGAGTTTAACGGGTAGGAGAAGCCCCATTGGCTGGGAGGGGTCGAGCTGTGGAAGCTGATTGGAGGAGCCAGACGAAGGGGTGGGAGAGTAGAAAAGGGGCGTGGCTTCGTCGCGTGGGCGTGACAAAAAGGCCGACCAATGGGGGGCGGAGCCCTCCGAGGGGGCGTGGCCTCGGTGGATGCAGGGAGGGCGTGGCCAAAGTAACGGGCGGGCGGGAAGCGGAAGCAGGGTTTGAATGGCGGCACCCCCAAAAAAGCCACTTTTTAGCCCAATTTTACCCTTTTCTACCCCCAAACCCCACCCCTCGTGAACGGGAAAGTGCCAAAATCGAGGGGTTTGGCCCCAAAATGTGCCCCTTGGGAGGCAGTGGGGACCCCAACCCCCCCATTCAAGGTCATGGGGGGGGGCAGAGCCACGCCCTAAAGGTGAAAATGGGTCCAAACCCCCCAATTTTGGGGCTGACGGTGAAGAAATGGGTTAAAAAAGGCGATTTGGGTTAAAAAGCATCGTTTTGGAGACTGAAAATGTGTGTTTACGGGGGTTGAGGAAGGTTAAAGTGGTTCTTTTTGGTTGAAAACTGTGTTTTGGGGCGGAAAAGGGGAATTTTGTGACTCAAATGGTCACATTGGGACGAAAAAGTCTATTTGGGTAAGAAAAAAAACTAATTTTTGCGGGCAAAATGCCGTTTTAAGGCTATAAAATGCAGTTTGAGAACAAAAAGGTTTTCTTTCTGAGCTGAAAACAGGAAAAAACAGGAATTCTGGGGTTGGAAGAAGAGATTTTGGGGCTAAAAATGACTTTTTTGGGGGTTGAAAACCCCGTTTCTGGACAGAAATTTGGGGTCCAAAGCGCTCATTTGAGGCGTTTTGAGGAACAAAGATCGCGTTCTGCAGCCGAAAGCCTCCATTGGGGGGGTGGCAAAGCTGCTTTGGAGACACAAAGGTGCTGTTTTGGGGCTGAAAACGTGGATTTTAGGTCAAACCCCATCACTTTCGAAGGGAAAGGTTGATTTTGAGTCAAAAACCACCAGTTTTGGGGCTAAAAACTACGTTAAATGGGGAAAACCCCCACTGTGAAGCAGCACTAAGACCATTCCGGCGTGGAAAAGAGCTCGTTTCGTGGCCCAAATCACTCGTTTTGGGGCTCAAAGCATCATTTTGCATCAAAAAAACAAGTTTAGCAGTAAAAAAGTGTTAATTTTGGAGCAAAACGGCTAAATTTGGGGCAGAAAAGCTGCTTCTGGGAGCACAAAGATGCGATTCTTCAGCCGCAGCCCTCCATTTTGGGGCCGGATTCCTCCATTTTGGGGTGGGATCGCCCGGCTTTTAGCAGCAAACCCCCCTTTTTGGGCTGAAATAAACCCATTTTGGGGCCGAAAAGCTGCGGTTTGCTGCTCAAAAGGCCCTTTTGGGGCAAAAAATGCCCTTTTTGGGGGATGGGAAGATCCAGAGAACAAAGCTCTTCCTGGGCGGGGGGAAAAGCTCCATTTTGGCGCTTTGGGGGGCAAAAAGACTTCTTTTAGCGCTAAAAAAAAAACATTTTGGCGCTTAAACCCATTATTTTGGGCAAAAAAAAAGCTTCATTTCAAGGAGAGAATCTCCTTTTTGGGGGCAAAAATGCGGATTTTAGGGCTCAAGATCTCCTCATAGAGAACAAAGCTTCCTCCGTAGTTGCAAAGCCTCTATTGGGCACTGAAAACTCCCATTTTAAGGCCAAAACCCTCGATTTAGGGGCTAAAAAGCTTCCATTTGTTACCAACCCACCCCGTATTTTAAGGCTGTTCAAGAAAATCGCCATTTTGGGACAAAAGAATCGCGGTTTTGGGGCGAAAAAAGCCCATATTGGAGCTAAGAGAGCTCCCTGAGGGCCGGCACGCCCCTATTTGGGGATGCAAAGCTTCATTTTTGGCTTAAATCTACTTGGTTTTGGGTAGAAAACCCCCTTTTTGGTTGCTGTGGGCGCCACGCCCAGGTTTTGGGGGCAAAAAAGCTTCATTTTGGGGGTATAAACCCTCATTTTAACGCTGAAAACGCCTGATTTTGGTCAAAATCCCTTTGGAAAGGGCGGAAAACGGCTTCGTTAAGGAAAATAAGGAGTAGGAAACGAAGCGAAAGGGCGGATTGCTGCGGTTTTGGGGCAAAACCAGCGCACTTTGGGATTTTAAAGCACCGTCCGTGTGGGAAAACTCCTGTTTTGGGGCTAAACCCCGCCATTTTGGGGCATTACCGCCCCTTTGAGGGCTGAAAATTGGCGAACCGGGCCAGAAACTGACATTTTGGGGGAGAGTGCCTTGAAACGGCGTTTTAGGGAGGAAAAGGCAGCGGTTTTGGGGTAAAAAAGAGGGGTTTTGGGGCAAAACCGGCTTAAAAGCCGCTTTCGGGCGCGCTCCCGAGGCGCGGCGGGAAACCGCCATTTTGAGCCGCGTGATAAGGGGGGGGAGGCACGTTTTGAGGCCAAAAACCTCCATTTTGGTGCCGAACCGCTTCGCTTTTGGGGCAAAACCCGCTCTTTTCCGCTGACCGGGCGGGAAAGGCGCCGGTTTTGGGCTAAAATCACCCCGATTCGGGTCCGCCTTTGTCTGGGCGAGGGGAGGGGCTTCTTAAAGGGGCCACGCCACAGTGGGAGGGATGAAGGGGGGGGGCCCACCCCTCCGCCCCGCCGCAGCCCGCCCGCCCTTCACCTTGGCCCCGATCTGGTTGCCGCATTGTCCCGCTTGGATGTGGACGATCTCCCTCATGGTGGCGGTGCGCGGTGAAGGTACCGGAGCGGTGGGGCCCACCCGGTCGCGGACGGAGCTTGTCGGTGCGGCGGCCCCTTTAAGACCCGAGCGTTGAGCGCAGCGGCGGCGGCAGCAATGGCGGCTCCCGCGGCCCCGCGGCGCCTCATATAGACAAGGCGGTGCCGCCCGGCCCCGCGCTCCCATTGGCCAGCACCGCCCTCCCGCCGCGCTCCCATTGGACGGTGTCTCTTAGCACCGCCCCCTCCCGCTTCTCTTTACGGACGTGCGCGGCAGCCAATGGGATGGCCGATGGGCGGTGACGCGCGGAAGGGTTGGCCAATGGGGTGAGGGAGGCGGGGCTTGGGCTCCGATGGCGCGGGAGGGGTGAGCGATGGCGGCCATTGAGGAGGGCTGGGGGGTGCCGGGGCGGTTGGGGGGAGCCCATGGGGCACTTGGGGGTCATAGGGGGCAGATTGGGGTCATAGGGGGCAGTTTAGGGGGTCCTTGGGGCAGTTTGGGGGGGTCCTTGGGGCAGTTTGGGGTCATAGGGGGCAGTTGCGGGGGGGTGGAGGGGTAGTTTGCGGCCTTGTGGGGCAGTTGGGGGCGTCCCTGGGGCAGTTGGGGGTCATAGGAGGCAAATTGGGGTCATATGGGGCATTTGGGGGCGTCTCTGGGGCCTTTGGGGGTCATAAGGGGCAGTTGGGGGGGTCAAGGGGCAGTTGAGGATCATATGGGGTAGTTTGGGGGGTCCCTGGGGCAGTCGGGGTTCAAGTGGGGCAGATTGGGGTCATATGGGGCAGTTTAGGGTCATATGGGTTAGTTTTGGGTCATATGGGGTAGATTGGGGTCCTATGGGGCAGTTGAGAGGGGGGTGGAGGGGCAGTTGGGGGTCATATGGGGCTGTTGGGGGGGGGCCCTGGGGCATTTAGAAGCCAAGGGGGTATTTGGAGGGGTCCTTTAGCCACGGGGGGGATGGGGGGGGTGTGGATTGGGGGTGACTGGGGGCAGGAGGGGGGGCAATTGTTTCTATGGGGCAGTTGTTGTTGCCCCCCCAGACCATGCACCGAAAGCACCACCAAAGCCTCAGCACCGTGGGGGTCACCGGTAGGTCCTGAACCCCCCTCGTGTCGTCCCCCCCATTGAAGTATTGGGGTGCCCTAAAGGCCCTTCCCTTAAGTAGCTGCGGCCTCCCTAGGGCAGGGACCAGCAGCAGCAGACCCAGATGTGCGCCCAGATGTTTGGAGCATCCGGAAGCGCTGCCGGAGCCCCGGGGGGGGGCGCCCGGCGGATGAGCCCCCCCCCAGCCCAGATCCAGATGTGGGAGGCCCCAAAAGGCAGCGGCTGGGGGCCGCCAGCGCCCCGGATCCAGATGTTGAGGGGCCCGATAATGGAGGCTGGCTGCTGGCGGTGGACAGCGACACAGACGTGGAGGGCGAGGAGCCCCATCCAGATGTTGCAGCCCCTTCCAATGGCCACAATGCAGATGTGGAGGGGGCACCCCACGGCCCTGGGTACCAGCTGCTGGTGTTGGACAGCGATACAGATGTGGAGGAGGAGGAGGGGGGCCATCCAGATGCTGGCCCCCCCAGAGACCCAGCTGTGAAGGCCGAGCCCCCCGCTGGGGCTGCTGCTGGGGACAGCGATACAGATGTGGAGGGGGGCACCTCCGATCCAGATATGGCGCCAGAGACCCCCCCTCTGCTAGGGCCAAGGCTCCAGGGGCTCTTGGTGGAGAGCGATACAGATGTGGAGGAGGACGGGGGCAGCCCAGATGTTGGCTCTGCTAAAATCCAGATGTGCCACAAGGAGCACGTCCTGGTGACGGAGACGCCCAAGCCAGATGTTGGGGGGCCCCAAGGGGTGGACACTGACACTGATGGGGAAGATGAGGACCTGACTCAGTGCTTCCTCCCCCCCTGGAAGCCCCCAGCGGTGGTGCTGGAGAGCCCGGTTCCAGATGTTGGGGCCATGGTGAAGCCAGATGTTGGGACCGTGCCCCCCGATCCAGCTGTTTCCCCCGCCAGCAGCGACAGGGAGGAGGTGGCTCCGACGCCAGATGTTCGGCAGCTCCGGAGCCGCGTCCGGTTCCAGGCCTTCCCCCATCCAGATGTGGTGGGCAGCGGCGCCGAGACGGCCCCAAACAGCTGGAAAAGGGCCCCGAAACCCAGGAGCAGCAAAGAGGTGATCCCGAGCCGCAGTGACGTAAACCCAGATGTGGCAGCCCCAAGTCCAGATGTGGCAAGCCATAATCCAGATGCGAAGGCCCCCGATGCAGATGCGAGGGCCTCAAATCCAGATGTCAGGTCCCCGAATCCAGATGTGGTGACCCCAAATCCAGATGTGGCACCCCCAGACCCCCACCTGGTGGCCCCGAATCCAGATGTTGGGGCCGAGGGACACGGTGGCAATACCCCGACGATGGTTCCAGTTGTGCCAATGGACGCTTCCACCCCCAAATCCCCACATCTGGACTCGTGTTCCGGTGTCACCGATGGTGCTGATGGGACAGAGAGCGACAGCGATGGTAAGTGGGGGGGGGGCCACCCCTCTGCCCCTCCTTTATGGGGTCCCTCCCAGATGTTGGGGTCCCCCCCATGGTCTCTTCTTCCTCTTCCACATCCAGATGTTGACCTCTTCCTGGAGCCCACCCAGAGCTTCCTGCCTCCAGCAGGCCAAGGTGGGTGCCCTGGACCCATAGGGGGGTACCCCCCTGTCCTGTGGGGTCCCTCTGCACATGTGGGGGTGCCCCATGGTCCCGTGGGGTTCCCCATCACCAGATACTTGGGTCCTCTCCAATGTGACCCCCCCATACTTGGGTGTCCCCCCCATACCTGTGTGTTCCCCCACACTCTTGGGGTACCCCCAATGGGTCTGTGTGCCCCCCATAGATCCCTGGTTCACCCCAAATGTCCCCCCCCCCAGGTTCACCCCAAGGTTGGGACCCCGAGGAGCCCACTCAGCTCTTCTGCCGCCCCCAAGAGGAGGAGGAAGAGGAGGAAGAGCCCCCCCAAACCCCCCCCCAGGCCCCCCCAAAGGAAGGGACCAAGGAGGAGGTGAGTGGGGAGGGGCTTTGCGTAAGCTCCGCCCCTCCGCATTGTGACGTCACAATCCCCGCATTATGATGTCACTGACCCCCCACCCACCCCATAGGGCCCCCGGCGCAGCCAGCGCCTGGCCAGGAGCCGAGTGGGTGGAGCGAAAGGGGGCGTGGCCTCGGAGGAGGTGGTGGGCGGGGCTCCCCTTGGCCCCGCCTCCTTGCGGCGCAGCCCCCGCCTCTTGGCGCGCCCCCTCGAGGAGCCACGCCCCCCACCGGCCAAGCCACGCCCCCGGCGGGCCGGGACTGGCCAATCACGGAGGAGAGCGCAGGTGGGTGGGGCCTGAAGGGGGGGGCTAAAGGGTGGTGGGTGGGGCTAGTGTGTGTGGTGCGGGCATTGCTGATTGGTGGACAACAGAGTGGGGGCGGGGCCTAACGCAATGGCTCCACCCCCTCCCCAGGATAAAAAGGAGGAGGCCATAGAGGTGGAGGCACCGCAGCTCCGCCCCCGGCGCAGCCTTGGCTCCTCCCCCCCAAAGGTATTATGGGATGGGGAAGGGGGGTCAGGACCTTGGGGGGGGACCCCAGTGTCCCCATTGTGTCCCCATTGTGACCTCATTGTGTCCCCAGTGTCACCCCGTGGCAGTCCCATTGTGTCCCCATTGTGTCCTCATTATCACCCCATGGCAGTCCCATTGTGTCCCCATTGTGACCCCATCTTGTCCCCATTGTGTCCCAAGTGTCACCCCATGGCAGTCCCATTGTGTCCCCATTGTGAACCCATCTTGTCCCCATTGTGTCCCCATTGTGTCTCAAGTGTCACCCCGTTGTCACCCCGTGGCAGTCCCATTGTGTCCCCATTATCACCCCACGGCAGTCCCATTGTCTTCCTGTTGTGTCCCCATTGTATCCCCATTGTGTCCCCATTGTATCCCCATTTTGTCCCCATTGTTTCCCCATTGTATTCCCATTTTGTCCCCATTTTGTCCCCATTGTGTCCCCATTGTATCCCCATTTTGTCCCCATTGTTTCCCCATTGTATCCCCATTTTGTTCCCATTGTGTCCCCATTGTGTCCCCATTTTGTCTCCATTGTTTCCCCATTGTGTCCCCATTTTGTCTCCATTGTTTCCCCATTGTATCCCCATTGTGTCCCCATTGTTTCCCCATTGTGTCCCCATTGTTTCCCCATTGTATCCCCATTGTATCCCCATTGTGTCCCCATTGTGTCCCCATTGTATCCCCATTGTGTCCCCATTGTGTCCCCATTGTGTCCCCATTGTTTCCCCATTGTGTCCCCATTGTGTCCCCATTGTTTCCCCATTGTCCCCATTGTTTCCCCATTGTGTCCCCATTGTGTCCCCATTGTGTCCCCATTGTGTCCCCATTGTATCCCCATTGTGTCCCCATTGTTTCCCCATTGTTTCCCCATTGTGTCCCCAGGTTCTCTTCACCGGCCTGGTGGCCTCCGAGGCCATGGAGGTTGCCCTGGGCTCCTTGGGGGGGTCGGTGGCCACCTCGGTGTTCGACTGCACCCACCTGGTCACCGACCGCATCCGGCGCACCCTCAAGTTCCTGTGCGCGGTGGCGCGCGGCGTCCCCATCGTCACCCCCGAGTGGATCCATAAGGTCCTATGGGGGTCAGGGGGCACGTGGGGGCATGGGGGGACATGGGGGGCCTTGAGGACATGGGGGGCATTGGGGACGTGGTGGCCATTGGGGACAATGGGGGACCTTGAGGACATGGGGGACATGGTGGCCACTGGGGACAATGGAAAGACCTTGGGGTCATGGTGGCCATTGGGGACAATGGGAAGACCTTGGGGTCATGGTGGCCACTGGGGACAATGGGAAGACCTTGGGGTCATGGTGGCCATCGGGGACAATGGGAAGACCTTGGGGACAATGGGAAGACCTTGGGGTCATGGTGGCCATTGGGGACAATGGGAAGACCTTGGGGACATGGGGGCCCTTGGGGACAATGGGAAGACCTTGGGGTCATGTGGGCCCTTGGGGACAATGGGAAGACCTTGGGGTCATCGTGGCCATTGGGGACAATGGGAAGACCTTGGGGACATGGGGGCCCTTGGGGACAATGGGAAGACCTTGGGGTCATGTGGGCCCTTGGGGACAATGGGAAGACCTTGGGGTCATGTGGGCCCTTGGGGACAATGGGAAGACCTTGGGGTCATGGTGGCCCTTGGGGACAATGGGAAGACCTTGGGGTCATGGTGGCCACTGGGGACAATGAGAACACCTTGGGGACAATGGGAAGAGCTTGGGGTCATGGTGGCCATTAGGGACAATGGGAAGACGTTGGGGACATGGGGGCCCTTGGGGACAATGGGAAGACCTTGGGGTCATCGTGGCCATTGGGGACAATGAGAACACCTTGGGGACAATGGGAAGAGCTTGGGGTCATGGTGGCCACAGGGGACAATGGGAAGAGCTTGGGGTCATGGTGGCCATCGGGGACAATGGGAAGACCTTGGAGCTATGGGAAGACCTTGGGGCCATGGGATGGGATCCTTGCATTCAGTGGGGACGGGGTGTCCCTGGGGGGCCCTATGGTGCCACCGCCTCGTCCCCGTTGTCCCCAGAGTGCCACCAGCGGCCGCATCCTGGCCCCCGGCCCCTTCCTGGTGCAGGACCCACAGCAGGAGCAGCACTTCGGCTTCAGCCTGGCCCAGGCCCTGCAGCGCGCCCGCCGCCACCCCCTGCTCCAGGTGAGCCCAATGGGTCCCCAATGGGTCCTAATGGGTCCCTAATGGGTCCTAATGGTCCCCAATGGTCCCTAATGTCCCCAGTGATCCAGAGGTGCCCATTGGGTTTAAGGGGTCCCCATTGATGATGGGGGTCCCCATTGGGTTTGGGGGTGCCCGTTGGGTTTAAGGGTTACCCACTGATGATGGGGTCCCCATTGGGTTTAAAGGGTGCCCATTGGGTTTAAGGGATGCCCATTGGATTTACGGGGTACCCACTGATGATGGGGGTCTCCATTGGGTTTAAGGGTTGCCCATTGGGTTTAAGGGGTACCCACTGATGATGGGGGTCTCCATTGGGTTTAAGGGTTGCCCATTGGGTTTAAGGGATACCCACTGATGATGGGGTCTCCATTGGTCCCCAGTGGTCCCCAATGGGTCCCCATTGAGGACTCAATGCTGGACACGTCACCCAATGGCCTCATGGTGGGCGCCATTGACTTGGTCCCATCGGGGTCCCCTCTCAAGTGGCCTCGTCCCCATTGTCCCCCATTGTCCCCTTTGTCCCCCATTGTCCTCCATTGTCCCCCATTGTCCCCATTGTCCCCCATTGTTCCCTCAGGGCTATGAGATCCACGTCACCCCCAGCGTGCGCCCCGAGCCCGAGCACATGAAGGACATCATCACCTGCAGCGGGGGCACCTTCCTGCCCACCATGCCCAGCACCTATAGGGTGAGGGGCCAGCAATGGGGCAGGGGCCCCCAAAGCCACCAGGGAGGGGATGAAATGGGGTCCCCCAAGCCTTTTGGGGGGGATCTGGGTGGTCCCAATGAGGGTTGGTGGGGGGCCTGGGGGATGGGGGGGGGGGTCACAGGGGTCTTGGAGGATCCCCATTGGCATTGGGGGATCCCACTGAGGTTGAGGTCTGCCTTGGGTTGAAGGGATGCCCATTGGGTTTAAGGGTGCCCATTGAGGTTGGGGGTGCCCCTTGGTGCCAAGGGTGTCCATTGGGTTTAAGGGGTACCCATTGATGTTGGGGTCTCCACTGGGTTTAAGGGGTGCCCATTGGGTGTAAGGGGTACCCATTGATGTTGGGGTCTCCATTGGATTTAAGGAGTGCCCATTGGGTGTAAGGGGTACACACTGATGTTGGGGTCTCCACTGGGTTTAAGGGGTGCCCATTGGGTGTAAGGGGTACACATTGATGTTGGGGTCTCCACTGGGTTTAAGGGGTGCCCATTGGGTGTAAGGGGTACCCATTGATGTTGGGGGTCTCCATTGGGTTTAAGGGGTACCCATTGATGATGGAGGTCTCCATTGGGTTTAAGGGGTACCCATTGATGATGGAGGTCTCCATTGGGTATAAGGGGTGCCCATTGGGTATGGGGGTGACCATTGTGTTTAAGGGGTCCCCATTGTGTTTAAGGGGTGCCCATTGATGATGAGTGTCTCCATTGGGTTTAAGGGGTGCCCATTGTGTTTAAGGGGTCCCCATTGTGTTTAAGGGGCCCCCATTGTGTTTAAGGGGTGCCCATTGCCATCAGTGGCTGCTGTACCCCCCCTCACCCCCATTTCCCCCTCCAGCCCCGGCGCGTGGTCGTGTCCTGCCCTGCGGACGCGTGGTGCTGGGCCCCGGCGCTGAGCTCCCGCCTGCCCTTGGCCTCCCCGGAGCTGCTGCTCACGGGGCTCCTGCGGCAGCGCCTGCAGCTCCAGCCCTTCCTCCTGCCCCCCCCCACCGAGACCCCCCCCACCAACCCCCCCACACGCAACCGGGGGCCCCCCCGGACCCGGCGGCGCCCGGTGGGGCCCCCCCAATAAAGAGCAGCACCAAAAGAGGCTGATTTGGGGGGGGGGGAATTGGGGGTGTCCCCTCTATGGGGTGGGAGATACCAATTTAACCCCCTTTGGGGGGGAATATGGGGGGGGGCGAGGCCATTTATACCCCTTGGAGCCCAGATTTACCCTGTCAGGCCCCCATTTACCCACTCAGGACCCAGATTTACCCTGTCAGGATCCCATTTACCCTTTCAGGACCCAGATTTACCCTGTCAGGACCCCATTTACCCTTTCAGGACCCACATTTACCCCCTCAGGACACCATTTACCCCCTCAAGACCTAGATTCACCCCCGCAGGACCCCATTTACCCCCTCAGGACCCAGATTTACCCCCTCAGGACCTCATTTATCCCCCTTGGAGCCCATATTTACCCTTTCAGGACCCCATTTACCCCCTCTAGACCCAGATTCACCCCTGCAGGACCCCATTTACCCCCTCAGGACCCAGATTTGCCCCATTGGAGCCCAGATTTACCCTTTCAGGACCCAGATTTACCCCCTTAGGACCCCATTTGCCCCCTTAGGGCTCCATTCACTCCGTACATCCCCCCCCAGCATCCCATTGGCCAGCGAGGAGGCGGGACCTCCGCACCGCCACCTCTCATTGGCTGTTGGTTTCCCGCGGCTGGGGCTTGGGGGGCGGGCTCTTGGCTCGGCTCTGCGTGCTGATTGGCGGAGCGGAAGGGGGGGGCGGGCAGAGGAGGCGGAGCGTTCCCGGCGTGCACCGCGCGACGGTTGGGGTACTGGGAGGTACTGGGAGCATCAATGGGGAGTAATGGGAGCATCAATGGGGGTAATGGGAGCATCAATGGGGGTAATGGGAGTAATGGGAGCATCAATGGGGAGTAATGGGAGCATCAATGGGGGGTAATGGGAGCATCAATGGGGGGTAATGGGGGGCAATGGGAGTATCAATGGGGGGTAATGGGAGCATCAATGGGGGTAATGGGAGCATCAATGGGGGCAATGGGAGCATCAATGGGGAGTAATGGGGGGCAATGGGAGCATCAATGGGGGGTAATGGGAGCATCAATGGGGGGTAATGGGGGCAATGGGAGCATCAATGGGGGGCAGACATAATGGGGGTAATGGGAGCATCAATGGGGAGTGGGAGCATCAATGGGGGGGCAATGGGCAATAATATGGGGGCAATGGGAGCAATGGGAGCAATGGGAGGGAAGCATCAATGGGGGGTAATGGGAGCATCAATGGGGGTAATGGGGGCAATGGGAGCATCAATGGGGAGTAATGGGGGGCAATGGAAGCATCAATGGGGGGCAATGGGAGCATCAATGGGGGTAATGGGAGCATCAATGGGGAGTAATGGGGGACAATGGGAGCATCGATGGGGGGTAATGGGAGTAATGGGAGCATCAGTGGGGGGTAATGGGAGCATCAATGGGGGGCAATGGGAGCATCAATGGGGGGTAATGGGAGCATCAATGGGGAGTAATGGGGGGCAATGGGAGCATCAATGGGGGGCAATGGGAGCATCAATGGGGGGTAATGGGAGCATCAATGGGGGGTAATGGGGGGCAATGGGAGCATCAATGGGGGTAACGGGAGCATCAGTGGGGGGTAGTGGGGGGCAATGGGAGCATCAATTGGAGTAATGGGAGCATCATTGGGGGGTACTGGGAGTTACTGGGGCTCTTACTGGTCCTTACTGGGATTTAGGTGCCACCAATGGCCGAGCAGCCACCAGCGACTGGTGAGACCCTTCCCCCCCCTCATAATGTGGGGGTCCCCCCACAGATGCACCCCCCATGACATGGTTCCTTCCACCTCTCCCCCCACAGGTCTCATCCCCCCATCCCACTTCATGCTCCGCCCCCCCGGGCCCAACACCAGGTAAGGACCCCCCCATTGCTCCCAGTTACCCCCATTGCTCCCAGTTACCCCCATTGCTCCCAGTTACCCCCCCCATTGCTCCCAGTTACCCCCATTGCTCCCAGTTACCCCCCATTGCTCCCAGTTACCCCCATTGCTCCCAGTTACCCCCCATTGCTCCCAGTTACCCCCCCATTGCTCCCAGTTACCCCCAGGGCCTGGCTCCCCTTTGTCAGGACTCTGGAGGCGGAGCTTGAGGCCGAAAGGAGGCGGAGCCAAGCTCTGGAGGTGGAGCTTGAGGCTGAAAGGAGGCGGAGCCAAGCTCTGGAGGTGGAGCTTGAAGCTGAAAGGAGGCGGAGCCAAGCCCTGGAGGCGGAGCTTGAGGCCAAAAGGAGGCGGAGCCAAGACCAGGGGGCGGAGCCTATTGGGGGGCAGCCCCAGGAGGTGAGCACAGGCCTCATGGGGTTCCAATGAGGTCCCAATGGGGTCCCAATGGGGTCCCAATGGGGTCCCAACGAGGTCCCAGTGGGGTCCCAATGAGGTCCCAATGAGGTCCCAATGGGGTCCCAATGAGGTCTCAATGGGGTCCTAATGGGGTCCCAATGGGGTCCCAACGGGGTCCCAATGGGGTCCTAATGGGGTCCCAACGAGGTCCCAATGGGGTCCCAACGAGGTCCCAATGGGGTCCCAATGGGGTCCTAATGGGGTCCCAATGGGGTGCCACTGAGGTCCCAATGGGGTCCCCCATTCCCCCCCCAGTGCCAGGCCCAGTTCCTGCTCCAGGCCCGGCTCAGCGCCATGGGTCACATCCTGGCCCTGCAGGAGAAGGAGCTGAGCCGTGAGGTAGGGTCTTGGGGGGCACATGGGGGGGCTTGGGGTGCTATAGGGTGGCCCTGGTGGGGGGGGGAGTTGGGTGCCATAGGGTGCCCTTGAGGTGGGGTTTGGGTGTATAGGGTGCTCCTGGGGGAAGTTTGGGGTGCTATAGGGTGCCCCTTGGGGGAGTTCGGGGTGTTATAGGGTGCCCATTGCGGGGGGGTTGGAGTGCCAGAGGGTGCCCCTGGTGGGGGTTGGGTGCCATAGGGTGCCAATGGGGGGGGGGGGGTTGGGTGCTATTGGGTGCCCCGGAGTGGGGGGGGGTGTGGGTGCTATAGGGTGCCCCTGGAGGAGGGTTTGGGTGCTATAGGGTGCCAATGGGGGGGTGGTTTGGGTGCTCTGGGGTGCCCCTGGAGGAGGGTTTGGATGCTATAGGGTGCCAATGGGGGGGTGGTTTGGGTCCTATAGGGTGCCCCTGGAGAAGGGTTTGGGTGCTATAGGGTGCCAATGGGGGGGGTGGTTTGGGTGCTTTAGGGTGCCCCTGGAGGAGGTTTTGGGTGCTATAGGGTGCAAAGGGGGGGGTGGTTTGGGTGCTATAGGGTGCCCCTGGTGGAGGGTTTGGTGCTATTGGGTGCCAATGGGGGGGGTGGTTTGGATGCTATAGGGTGCCAATGGGGGGGTGGTTTGGGTGCTCTGGGGTGCCCCTGGAGGAGGGTTTGGGTGCTATAGGGTGCCAATGGGGGGGGTGGTTTGGGTGCTATAGGGGTCCCCTGGAGGAGGGTTTGGGTGCTATAGGGTGCCAATGGGGGGGTGGTTTGGGTGCTATAGGGTGCCCCTGGAGGAGGGTTTGTATGCTATAGGGTGCCAATGGGGGGGTGTTTTGGGTGCTATAGGGTGCCCCCCTGTGCTCCCCAGCTGCCCCCCCCAGGGGTGCCGTTGGCCGTGGCCCCCCCCCGTCTGCGCCTGCTCTTGGGGTGCTGGAGGGAGAAGGTGTTCGGGCTCCTGGTGCAGCTGCGGGTGCAGGAGGAGCTGCAGCGGGTGCTGAGCGCACAGGTGGGTGCTGGGCACCCCCGTCCCCTATGGGTCCCATGGCGGGGGGGGGGCTCAGGACCCATATGTGGGGCGCTGGGGACCCATAGGTGGGCAGCCTGGGGGCTGCGGTGGCTGCGGGGACCCGGAGGGTGACGCGGTTGGAGCTGAGGCTGAAGGAGAGGATGGAGAGAGGAGAAGAGCAGAGACAGGAAAACCAGGTGAGGGAATAGGGATATGGGAATGGGATTGGGATGTGGGGTATGGGGTATATGGGGTATGGGGTATGGGATATGGGGTATATGGGATATGGGGTATATAGGGTATATGGGATATGGGGTATGAGATTGGGATGTGGGGTATGGGGTATATAGGGTATATGGGATATGGGGTATGAAATTGGGATGTGGGGTATGGGGTATGGGATATGGGGTATATGGGATATGGGATATATGGTGTATTGGGTATATAGGATATGGGGTATGGGATATGGGGGATATAGGATATGGGGAATGGGATATGGGGTATATGGGATATGGGGTATGGGGACACGTGTAGGGACATGGTGCCCCTTGTCACAGCGCCTGGTGCAGGAGGTGACCCAGCAGCGGGCACGGGCAGAGGCGGCTGAGGAGGCACTGGGGGAACTGGCCCAGGCAGCTGCCAGGTACTGGGGGGACTGGGGTGATGCTGACCCCATATCCCATGCCCCATATCCCATACCCCATATCCCATGCCCCATACCCCATTATCCCATACCCCATACCCCATATCCCATACCCCATATCACATGCCCCCCATACATCCCGTATCCCATGCCCCATATGCTATACCCCATATCCCATATACCCCATATCCCATATACCCCATATCCCATATACCCCATATCCCATACCCCCTATCCCATGCCCCATACCCCATTATCCCATACCCCATACCCCATATCCCATACCCCATATCCCATACCCCATATCCCATATACCATACATCCCATACCCCATATCCCATACCCCATATCACATGCCCCCCATACATCCCATACACCATACCCCATATCCCATACCCCATATCCCATGCCCCATACCCCTTATCTCCGTATCCCATACCCCATATCCCATATACCCCATATCCCATACCCCGTATCCCATATCCCATATACCCCATATCCCATATACCCCATTCCCTGTGGTGTCCCCAGGCTCGCCAGGGTGCTGGCAGCGCACGAGACCGCGGTGGCTGCAGCCACCAGGACCATGGACACCCTCAGCACCCGCCTGCGCCGGGCAGGACAGAGGCTCCGGGTGCTGCAGGGTATGGATAGGGGTCACCCCTTGTGTCGCCTCCAGGCCCCCCCCCATGAGGACAGGATGGGCCCCCCCCCCAGCAGAGGTAGGTCCCATCCCATGCCCCCATTTCCCGCCCCATGTCTCCCCATTGACCCCTCATGGGTCCCCCCCCATTGACCCCTCATGGGTCCCCCCCCCATGTCTCCCCATTGACCCCCATGGGTCCCCCCCCCATGTCCCCTCAGCTGCGCTGGGCTCCCTGGTGACGCAGCTGCAGGCTCTGGGTGCCTCCATCCTTGGGGACAACGGGGACCCCCCCTGACCCGGTGAGTCCCGTCCCCCCCCAGCCCTGCCAGTGGGGGTCCCACCAGTCTGCACCAGTAAGGCACTGGTGGGACCCTGTGTGGCCTCCTCCTCCCAGTTTATCCCAGTCACTTCCTGCTTCTCCCCATCCCGACGCCCAAACTCTTTTTATTTCCTTTCTTTTTTTACAGCTTTGCCCCTTTTTGGCCTCTTTTTAACCCAATTAAAGCTCGTGGTTTGACATCACCGCCTCCTCTTGGCGCGGCGGGCGGGCACAAGGACCCAGGGCTCCGCTCTACCCCCCCCCCCCGCCCCGCCCCGCCCGCTCCTATTGGCCACCGCTCTCCGCGCTCCGCGCGCTGATTGGCCGATAGCGAAGCCGTGATTTCCGCCGAGCCTTAAAGGGGCCCGAGCCCCCGTCGCCCGTTCACTCGCAAGCCCAGCAGCCCGCTGCCCAGCGCGGCCCCTGGCACAGCGGCCGGTGCTTATCGAGCCCGCTCCGCAGGCGGAAACGGGTCCCGCAGCGCTCGCAGGCCCGCCCGGCCCCGTCGTGGGTCTTCATGTGCTCCGTCAAGTGATGCTTGAGCTTGAAACGCTTATGGCAGGCGCCGCAGGAGAAGGGCCGCAGGCTGAAGGTGAGCATGATGTGCCGGTCCCGCTTGGGCTTGACGGCAAAGCGCTTCCCGCACAAGCAACCGAAGCGTTTCCCATCCGGAGCCGCTCCCAGCTTCACCGGCGCGTGCAGGGCCGGAGCCCGGCCCAGGATCTCGTTGCCGTGCAGGTCCACGGGCTTCCAAGAGGCTTGGTTGAAGATGGAGGCGGCGGCGGCGGCGGCGGTGGCGGTGGTGGTGGTGGTGGTGGTGGTGGTGGTGGTCACCAGCGCGGTGCCTGTGGTACCCGAGCCCGGCGGGAGGATGCGGCTCAGCACGGGTGCAGGCTCGGTGGCTTCGCCGGCTTCTTGCTTGATGTAGAAGACTTTAGGGGGGTCGTGGGTGTCTCTGGGCGCTCCGTCCTCTTCCTCCTCCTCCTCCTCCTCCTCCAGCACGATCTGGAGGGCGTCAGCGGCACGATGGGCGCCGTCTTCATCCTCCTCTTCCTCCTCTTCCTCCTCCTCCTCCTCCTGCACGCAGATCTTGAGGACCTCCTCGCCCGCCTCCTTGGGCCATGGGGGGGAGGAAGGCCCATCCCCAGCACGGCTGGTCCAGGGCGATGCCAAAGCCCCGTCACCATGGGTGACACATGAAGCCCCATCTCCATCACGGGTGACACAGGAAGATCCATCTCCACCATGAGTGGTCCAGGACGATGCCGAAGCCCCGTCTCTACCACGGACAACACACGAAGCCCCATCGCCAGCACGGTTGGTCCAGGACGATGCCGAAGCCCCATCTCCACCGTGGCTGATACACAAAGCCCCATCTCCACCGTGGGTGAGGCAGGAAGATCCATCTCCACCATGGGTCATGCACGAAGCCCCATCTCCACCACGGTTGGTCCAGGACGATGCCGAAGCCCCATCTCCACCATGGGTCATGCACGAAGCCCCATCTCCACCATGGGTGAGGCACGAAGCCCCATCTCCACCACGGCTGGTCCAGGACGATGCCGAAGCCCCATCTCCACCATGGGTACCGCACAAAGCCGCAGCTTCCCCCCCACGACCACCGGATGCCGACGAGGCCGAGGCCGCTGCCCCCCACCGGCACCCCCGTCCCCCCTCCATCTCCCGAAGGATCTCGGAGCACTGATCCACCACGTGCCACATCTGGAGCCCGCTGGCCACCAAGAGATGCCCGGGCAGGGCATCCAGCACCAAACTCAACCGCCCGGAGTAGATGAGGTGCAAGAGCCCTTCGAAAGCATCGGGGTCGATGGCGGGGGGCAAAAGCAACCGGGCCCCATCCTGCAGCAGGAGCTTGTCGTGGAAGAAGGGGGACGCGGCGGCCAGGACGCTCTTATGGGCCGGGAAGACGCGGCCGCCGACGTGGACGTGGACGTCGCAGAACTTGCCCTCCAGGCGCAGGAGGTTGAGGGACTCGAGCAGCGCGGCCGCGTGCTGCGGGAAGGAGATCTGCACCCGGCCCCCCATCCGGCACGGCCCTGCTTGGGGGGGGGGAACGACAGCACCCATGGGGTTCACTGCTGCCCCGTGGGGGCCTGATTGCCCCTTGAGGGTCGCCAATAGCCCCATAGGGGCCCCCAATAGCCCCTTGGGGTCTCCAGTAGCACCTTGAGGGTCTCCAATAGCACCTAGAGAGGTCCCTATAGTGGCAGGGGGGTCCCCGAGAGCATCTAGAGGGGCCACAATAGCGCCTTGAGAGTCCCAATAGCACCTAGAGGGGTCCCTATAGTGCCGGGGGTGTCCCCAATAGCACCTAAAGGGGCCAAAATAGCGCCTTGAGAGTCCCAATAGCACCTTGAGTATCACCAGTAGCACCTTGAGCAGTCCCTATTACCCCACATGCGCCCCTATAGCCCCTTCGTGGTCCCCAATAGCACCTTGAGGGGTCCCTAGTACCCCACATAGGGCCCTATAGCCCCTTGAGGGCCCCAATAGCACCTTGAGGGGTCCCTAGTACCCCACATAGGGCCCTATAGTGCCTTGAGGGCCCCAATAGCACCTTGAGGGTCCCTAATAGCCCCATGTGGGCCCCAATACCCCTTGAGGGGCCTCCAGTAGCACCTTGAGGGATACCTATAATGCCAGGGGGGTCCCCAATAGCCCCATGGGGTCCCCAATAGCACCTTGAGGGATGCCTATAGACCCAGGGGGGTCCCTATTACCCTACATGGGCCCCTATAGCAACTTGAGGATCAGCAATAGCACCTAGAGGGGTCCATATAGCACCTTGAGGGTTCCTATGGCACCTTGAGCGTTGCCAATAGCGTCGAGGGTCCAAATAGTCCCTTGACGGGTCCCCACAGCCCCGGGGGGGTCCCTATACCCTCATAGGTCCCTATAGCCCCTTGAAGATCCCTATTGCCCGCCGGGTGCCCGTATACCCCCTTGACAGGTCCCTATAGCCCCGGAGGGGTCCGTATCACCCCACATTGGCCCCTATAGCCCCTTATGTGCCCCTATAGCCATAGGGATCCCCCACACCCCCTTCACCCCCAACCCGAAAGCCCCGATTCGCCCCATCCGCGTCCCGCGCTCACCCCGGGCGCCTCCGAACGGTAACGTCACCAGCGAAGCTCCGCCCACCCCCAATACGTGTACGGTGACGGAGGAGGAAAGACCCATCCCACCCCCCCCCAAAACCACTGCGGTTGGTACGGCCCGACCAAGATTTCGGGGGAGCCGCGGAAACAAAGCGCTACCGGATGCGCTGGCAGGACCAGAAACGAACACAAACCTACCCCAAACGCATTTACACCTGGCCCTAAAACAAACAATAACCCTAACAATAACTGTAACCCTAACCTTAATCTTAACCCTACCCTTAACCCTAAACCTAACATTATCCCTATCCTTAACCCTAACACTAACTTTAATAACCTTAACCTTAATCCTAACCCTAAACTTAACCCTAACCCTAACCCTAACCCTAACCTTAACCTTAACCTTAACCCTAGCCCTAATCTTAACCTTAACCCTAACCTTGACCCTAACCCTAACCTTAACTTTAAACTTTAGCCTTAACCCTAACCCTAACCTTAGCCTTAACCTTAACCCTAGCCCTAATCTTACCCTTAACCTTAACCCTAACCTGGACCTTAACCCTAACCTTAACCCTAACCCTAACCTTAACCCTAACCTTAACTTTAAACTTTAGCCTTAACCCTAACCCTAGCCTTAGCCTTAACCTTAACGCTAACCCTAACCCCAACCTTAACCCTAACCCAAAGCCAAAGTCTCACCCTCACTGCCCCCCATCCCTTGCCTTGGTACCGTCCTGCTCCCTCCACGCCCCTCCGCTGCCATGGTTACGGGAGGAAGCCACGCCCACAAACCCTCCTTTCATTGGCTCTAATCACCCCCGCCCCTCCCATAAACCCGCCCCGTGTCAAACCACGCCCTCTCTTAAACCATGCCCACAACCCCGCCTTTGATTGGCTCCGCTCCATCCCCATAAGCCCCGCCTCCCATTCCCTACCAGCTACGCCCCCTTAAACCACGCCCACAACCCCCCCCCCCGTAAAACCCACCCTTCCCATTCCCTCCACCCCACAAACCACGCCCACCCCCCGATCCACACCCTCCCATTGGCCAATCCCCCCTTTAGCCACGCCCCCTCGTACAAGACGACCCGAGTTTATTAAAGGCTCCGGGCAGCGGCGGCCCCGGCGGTTGGAGCCGGCCCGGACCCGCCGGGGGCCGCCCGCGGGCGGGGCAGTGACGGGGCTGCAGAGGGGCCCGAGCAGGGGCTCCGGTTTGGGGGGGGGAAGCGAGGGGCGGGGCATTGGGGGGGGGTCCCCGGTGCGTTAATGGAGGAGGGGGCTTGTGAATGGGAGGGGCTTCTTGTGAATGGGGGAGTCATTGTGAATGGGGGGAGCTTCTTGTGAATGGGGCATTGGTGAATGGGGGGGTTCTTATGAATGGGGGGGGCTTCTTGTGAATGGGGGAGTCATTGTGAATGGGGGGGTCCTGGTGAATGGGGGGTATTGGTAATTGGGGGTTCCTTCTGAATGCGGGGCATTGGTGAATGGGGTGGTCTTGGTGAATGGGGGGGTTTATGAATGGGGGGTATTAGGGAATGGGGGGGGTCCTTATGAATGGGGGGGTTCTTATGAATGGGGGGTATTGGTAATTGGGGGTTCCTTCTGAATGCGGGGCGTTGGTAAATGGGGTGGTCTTGGTGAATGGGGAGGGTTTATGAATGGGGGGCATTAGGGAATGGGGGGGGTCCTTATGAATGGGGGGGTTCTTATGAATGGGGGGTATTCGTAATTGGGGGGTCCTGGTGAATGGGGGGCATTGGTGAATGGAGGGTCCTTATGAATGGAGGGCACTGGTGAATGGGGGGGTTCTTGTGAAGGGGGGGGGTCTTTGTGAATGGGGGGGTTCTTGTGAATGGGGGGCATTGGTGAATGGGGGGGCTAGGTGCATTGAAGGGGAGGGGGAGATAGTGTGGGGGGGGTGTTGTGCATTGTGGGGGGCATCAAGTGAATGGGGTGGGTAGGGGGTGTTGGTGCATTGGGAGGGGTCCCAGTGAGAGTGGGGTTGGGCAATGGGGGGGTCTCAGTGCATTGGGGGGGCCCTGGTGAATATGGGGGTGCATTGAGGGGGGCTGGTGAATAACGGGGGGGGGTCTTGGTGAATGGGGGGGTCCTGGGATGATGCACACGGGTCCTTCCCCCCCCATTCCACGAGGAGCCCCAGTCCTTGTGCATGAGGCCGGTGGTGCGCAGTGCCCCCCCCCCATGCACAATCACCCCCCCCATATACAATCAATGACCCCAAGTCCTGGTGCACGTTGCCCCCCCCCCAAAGTCCTGGTGCACGACGGAGCCGGATGTGCAAGGCGTGGATTTGGGGGGGGTCCTGTGGCTCCTTGGTGCACACGATGTGGGGGGGGCGCTCGCGGGGGGGGGGTGTGGGGGTGATATTTGGGGGTGCAATGCACGAAGAAGAAGGGGGGGGACCCCGTTGTGATGCACGGGGGGGGGGGGTGTCGATGCACGAGGAATGTCCGGTCCCATTGCACGACGTTGTGGGGGGGGGGGTGATGCACGAGAGGAAGGGTCCAGTCCTGGTGCAAGGAAGGGGGGGGTGCACATTGAAGGTGAAGGGGGGGGGGTGTTGGGAATGGCCTGGTCCATGGCGCACAAAGTGGGGGGGAGGGAAAGCTCCGGTCCTGGCGCTTAAGAAGCCGTTGCACGAGGGCGTCGTGCGCCCCCCCCCCAAAATCCCGTTGTTGCCGTGATCAATGTCCATGATGGGGTGCACACGGGGGGGGGGGGGGTGTGTCCATGGTCCGTGCCCCCCCCTCCAACCAACCCCCGTCGGGTGTCGCCGCACGAGGTCGCCCCAAGTCTCATTGCACAAGGAACCGGATGCACGAGGCCGCCCCCCCGTCCCCCCCGGTATTCCCGATGCACGGGGTCTCCCTCTCCTTGTGCTGCACGAGGAGCCCTTTGCACGAGGAGCCCTTTGCACGACGGCCCCCGCCCCCCCCCCATGCACCAAAAGAGGGGGGGGTATTGTGGGGGGGGATGGTGCAGAAAAGGGGGTGTCCCCCCCCCCCTTCCCTTTCCCACCCCCCCCTTCCCTCCCCATCCCTCCCCCCCCCCTTCCTCCTCCCCGGGGGTCTCCGGGAGCCGCCTCCATCCCCCCCCCCCCGCCCATTCCCTTCCCCTCCCCCCCCCATCCGTTCCCCCCCCCCCCCCATTTTTCCCTCCATGTTGGTTCGCTCCGCTTTGGGGGGGGTGTGGGGGTGTATGGGGGGTGTGGGGGGGAGGATGGAAGGTACCATTATCGGGGGGGGGGGGGGGGAGTTGCGGTGGTCCCGGCGCGCCCCCGGGGGGCGGGCGCTAGTGCTCAGCAGCGGGGCCGCGCAGATCGCCGTTGGCCGTGATCGGGGGTGGCGGGGGCAGAAGCGGGGGTCGCCCTGGGGGGGGGACCCCCCCCATACATCCCCCCCCCCCAAGCAGCCCCCCCCCATCCCCGGCCCAGCTCACACCCGGGTCTGCTGCACCCACGGCGGAAAGCTGCCTCTCCTGTAAGGGCACCGAGGGGGCTCGGTCACCCCCCCCGCCCACCACCAGCACCCCCCCAATACCGAGGGGTCACCCCCCCCCCACCCCCTCCGTTTAACCCCCTCCCCCCCCACCTGCACTCACCTTCATGCCCAATGGGCACCCCCCCATCCATCCATTGTGACCCCCCCATCACCCCCAAATTGACCCCCCCATCACCCCCAAATTGACCCCCCATCACCCCAAAACCGACCTCCCCATTACCCCCATATTGTCCCTCACCACCTCCTGTGTGTCATCCCCCCCTCATTATTCCCCCCCCCCCGTTGACAATACAAGGACCATGCCCCCCACCCCCCCCCCCCCCCCAAAATTAAGGGTTGGGTGAGGTGAGATGGGGACAGACACAGGACACGAGGATGGAGACACGGTGGGTGCCAGCGCTGGGGGGGGTGTGACGGCCACCAACCCCCCCCCATGTCACACACCCCCTCCCCATGTCACATCCCCCCCCCGTTATAGGGGATGGGGACGTGGTGTCCCCAATGCGGTCACACAGCCCCAGGAGGAGGCACAGGAAGGGGACAAAGGGGTTGGCCCCGAGGGGACCTTGGTGGCCCCATAGGGGATGGGGATACCCAAGGGGCATGGACCTAAAAGGGGACATGGGGACCCCTCCAAGGGGCCATGTCCCCAAGGGCTCCCAGTGTCCCAAGGGACATGGGGACACCCCAGGTCCATGTCCTCAGTGGGACATGGGGACACCCCAGGTCCATGTCCCCAGCAGGACATGGGGACACCCCCAAGGTCCATGTCCTCAATGGGACATGGGGACACTCCAGGTCCATGTCCTCAATGGGACATGGGGACACCCCCAAGGTCCATGTCCTCAATGGGACATGGGGACACCCCCAAGGTCCATGTCCTCAATGGGACATGGGGACACCAAAGGGACATGGGGACATCCCAGGTCCATGTCCTCAATGGGACATGGGGACACAGGACGGACATAGGGATACCAAGGTCCATGTCCCAAATAGGACATGGGGACACCCCCAAGGTCCATGTCCCCAGTAGGACATGGGGACACCCCAGGTCCATGTCCTCAATGGGACATGGAGACACAGGAGGGACATAGGGATACCAAGGTCCATGTCCCAAATAGGACATGGGGACATCCCCAAGGTCCATGTCCCCAATAGGACATGGGGACACCCCAGGTCCATGTCCTCAATGGGACATGGGGACACAGGACGGACATAGGGATACCAAGGTCCATGTCCCCAGTAGGACATGGGGACACCTCAGGTCCATGTCCTCAATGGGACATGGGGACATCAGAAAGACATGGGGACACCCCCAAGGTCCATGTCCTCAATGGGACATGGGGACATCAGAGGGACATGGGGACACCCCCAAGGTCCATGTCCTCAATGGGACATGGGGACATCAGAGGGACATGGGGACACCCCCAAGGTCCATGTCCTCAATGGGACATGGGGACATCAGAGGGACATGGGGACATAAGAGGGACATGGGGACACCCCCAAAGTCCATGTCCTCAATGGGACATGGGG